TTTCCTCATTTAACTTCAAAGTAGTACTTTTTTGAATTTATATATGCTCTCGTAAATTGCTAAATTCTTGATGTTGAATATATGTGTGCAATTCACAGTCTTAGCTGTGAACTAAACAAGACGAAACCTTCACCTTAATATAAATAAAAATAATATATTTGTAATATCCCAATGAGTAGAAAATTGGATTTTCTGACGTTTCGTGACTTAGTGTAAGTCACTTCTTCAGAGAACAAATAACCAAAGTTAACTTGGATGAATTTTAATTTGGTTATTTGTTCTCTGAAGAAGTGACTTACACTAAGTCACGAAACGTCAGAAAATCCAATTTTCTACTCATTGGGATATTACAAATATATTATTTTTATTTATAACAATGAACCCAATGCTCAATTTATTCGAAATTATCAAATCAAACCTTGGTAATAACACCTACTTCACCTTAATAGTCTGTTTCCATTTTCCTACACTGGTATTCACTATATACTTCACTAAGTTCATTAAATTGAAATTTTTACTGTAAACTGAATTTGGCTACCCAATGTCACTGATTCGAATTATTGGTTACTGGCAAGTTATCGTTTATTATCTTTAAGTCTTATTGAAGATTCTAGGTACCATATTATTTTCATGCCTGTTACAGTTATAATTAACTCGATTTTCTTTCTTGACTATTTTCTAGTATCACTTGTGTTCGATTCATTCCACATACTTCGCTGGCTGTCTCTTCTGATAAAGGTGGTCAGATTAAGCAGTGGGATATTAAGAAGTTCCGTGAAATTACTACCCTTAAGGTATGTTAAGTTTTTCATGCAAATTAGGTTTAGTATTTAGTGTTTAATGGGTGGGACCACTGGTGTCACTGAAATGGCTACGATAACGGATAAAATATCTGCGTCATTAATTATAAGGGTAGTTTTAAATAAATCTTGTAAGAAACACTTCATCTATCGTTTGATCATAGTGCCTTCTTAAAAATGTTACATATTCGCAAGCGGTTAGTGTTCAGAGCAAATTCACGTTTTATATATTATACTCAATGGAAAAATGTATCAATTTTTGTGAAACTCATTTTTCCTTTAAAGACTAAAACTCGCATCCTTCATTCACGTTACTACTAAATATGTAGTAGACAACATAAAATTGTGGTCAATAAAGATAAAGTCCATTTTATTTATTTGCTTATTGCAACCTTTCAAATAAGCGATCAAACACCATGATTAACTTGGGATCTCACCTTGTAGACCAAAAGCACCTTTAAGTTTTCAACAGCTCGTCGTATCACTTGATTTTTAAACTTCACGTTTCGATTTGATTCGCACAGAAAAACGTATCGCTTCTGCTTACTATCTAGTGATCAGTTACGTATAGTGATTGACGATACGTAGCACAATTTATTTTTATTTAGCATCCTGTACTAATATGGTAGGATCTTGTATGCATAATTCTGACATTTCTTTAATCATTTCCAGGGTCATAACGGTAGCGTAACTTCTTTAGCTACAACGATTACTAACACAGCTCTTTTGACCCAAAAGAAAACACCTAAATTGGAAAAAACACGCAAATCACATGCACGGAACAACCAAGATGAAGGAAGCAATGATGATGATATGGATGAACTATGGGGAGGTCTTATTTTATCTACTGGTCAAGATTTCAGCATAAGAATATGGGAGGAAGCTGATGAACTTTTGATTTTAGAAGAAGAGGAACAAATTGCGCGAGAACAGGAGGAGGAGGAAGAATTGGTTCGATCAGAAGCAGTGATTCCTGGAGCGATGCCTTCAGAAGCTAGTGAAATTAATCCTTTAGGCCGACCAACCGGTAATACAAGAGATGCTGTAAGTTTATCGTGAATCGTTAAAATAATGTTTTCGTTATCAACCTGTGCAATATCGAATGATTAGATCAAACAAAATTCAAATTTACGATCTTATATTTAAAAACTGAGTGCGTCAAGCAAATAGATTGTAATTTCACGAAATTTTATTCCCTGTAATCTATTTTGCTTTACAAGAGTAACCGTTTAAGGAGACATTTTCTTGAACACGATTTAAAGATACCACAACTTTAACTAAATTCACCGTTTGTAAATACTAAGAAGCGTGCGTTTGTATAACACAGTTCAACTTCACTCAAGTTAATTGTTTTCTTCTTCTCTTTGAGAAACTACAAAATTTAACACAACTGTAACTGAATGTTTACGACATTCTTCTTTACTAGTAAAATGCTTGGTTTCAAACCGAACTACATTTTCGAATGTTAGAGGAGGCAGATAGTACCTTTGATGCGTACACATGTATACCTGATAGCTTAGTATGAAACCTTATCCTAATACACAAATATCCATTACAGTGGTGATCGATTAATTTTTAACTTCCCTTTAGCATAATTGAAAAAACGGTGGACAAAAAAAGGAATAACCAGACTTGTGAACTGTTAGCAATAGCTAAAAAACTACTTTTATACATTGTTGAAGAACATTGAATTAATATGTGCGACATTAATACACTCTTATTAACAGTTTTTTAGCTTCGTATCAGAATCAATGCACGACAAGTGAATTGTAGCTTACCATTAAAAGTTCTATCACAATGAACATCAAAGATACTCAAATCCTTTTTACCAGTTAAACAAACCGTATACTCAATCTCTTAATAATTTCAGGTTTTTTCAACACTAATTCTAACGATTTCATTTTTACACACTTTCTACTTGTAACTTTCAGGCTGATATGTTTATGGAAGCAATGGACATTTATGAAGAAGAGATAGTCAAACGTAAAAATGGAGCTAAAAATTTAACACCACATCCTCTAATGGTTGCACGTGGAACAAATTGTCCGGAGAAATTTCTACTCAAAAGTTTAATGGCTCTAAGAGCACCATATTCTCGTCTAGGTGGTGGTGGAGCAGGTTTAGAACATGCACTGGGCGCTTTAACTAGTGAACATGTTCGCCGTTTACTTCCTAAGTTAGCGGATTGGTTATCACGTGGTTGGGAAATAGAACTTGTTGGACGTTCAATTCGTCATTTAGTAACTCTACATTTTGGTCTTGCAATATCATGTTCCGAGCTACGTGACGCAATCCGTCAGTCATCTAAGGCTAGGATGGAACAGTTAGTCCGTGCAAAAGTATGTCTCTTGTTTTAGCCTTATTATTACTATAGTTTCATATATTCAAGTCATTTATCTGTTTATCATAATATTCTAATTTTCTTCATTTGAACGAACACGATCCTCGTAAAATCTCTACTGCATGATGGGACAAAAAATAAGTAGTAACTAATATCTATTCCTGTCATCCATTATTTTTTTAGTTATACATGTGAAAATTATGATTGAAGCTAAAAGGAAATATATGGATTACGATATAATTTTAGGCCTGCAAACCGATTTCATAAATGATTAATATGGTTATTTTCTCAGTGTTTGCATCATTTTATAGTTTGTGGAGAAAAGGAAATTGTTCTTATTAGTTGTACAGGTCGACTCAGACTCACAAAAGACATCTAATTTAACTGAGGCTATTCTACTATCTAGATTTGCTCCAGATTAGATCGTTTACATATGATGACAGTGATCACCCGAAATATTTGTGATCTTCAATTCATGTATTCTGTGCTTTTATAGTGATAGTTACCCGGCAACAATAAACAGAAAGAAAATATTCTATTCCTGGTGGAGTTTCTTTTTTCTAGATAGATGGCTTAGTCGTGAAGCTTTCATTATTCTTCTGAACAACATCAGCAGCACAAACTTCAGGTAGAAGTGAGGTATTCGAATTTCTGCATATATAACTGGTAGTTTGTCATGTCGATCCTGATTGGGTATTGTTGCCTCTACAACCTGTCTGCATATTTGTTTTAATTGTCCCTCCCTTAGACCTGATTCTTTATCCTAATGTAGTTGCGATTTTGATGTGTATAAGTTGGCTTCCGACATACCTAAGTGTCCGGTTCCTCTGTGTTGGTCCTGGTGATCAAGACACCTAAGAATAATAGCTTGTTGTTCGAATCCTTTTCCACTGTAAATTTTGTCATTGAGGACGTTTCTGATCGCAATCTATTTATTTTCCATTTCATCCTTTTTGATGATGATGAATCTACATTTTTGGCTTGACCAGTGGAAGTCGTGATTTTACTAGAAGGAAAAAGCCACACCAACAATGCATAACCTTGCACAGATTGGTATCAGTCTAAGTTACCACACATTACAATGGTAGGAATCTAATCAGTTGGAAAGCTAAGGATCCTAAATAATAAAGGAAAAATATCTCTTCCCTAACTAGCTATTGTATTCATGTTATCTAAGATCTGCAACTAAAATGCTTGAAAAAAATGAGAGTAGTGTAATGTTGAATCAATTTATATTGATTACCGTTTGTTTGAAGGGTTTTATGGAGGTTGGTTTCATTTCTAGGATACCAGTAGTAGCACTGAACAGCTCTTTTACCCTAGTACGGAACTCTTCAGCAGTTCGCACCTAAAATATCACTGGGGATCGAATACAAGGGTTTCATATCTTACAGCTAACGCCTAGCGATTACAACTATTACGTTGACGTCTCATGGTACGACTCGAAATTTAATCCATTTGTGATATAGAGCGACGGTTATCTAATGTCATTGATGAAAGCTTTCTTACTTCCGATATAATAAACTCTAAAATCCGAACTTCTCACTAGAATTTGAATTACATCGCAAAGTCACCAGTGGGCTGACTGTTACAATTTAGCTGAAGAGATTTTGTGGCGATTTGTTTAGTTTATTTAACTTTGAATATTTTTTCACATCGACTCGCTGTTATACTGAAGTGAAATGTTTTCGAAACTATCAGTTCTAATGACAATCACTTCTCTACATTAATAAACATCAATAAGGTTATAACATTCTTAAAATCTTTAATTATTTTCACTTATTTCTCTTTTGTACATTTTAGAATCTTATCGGTATGAATTTAGCCGGTTTAGAATGTTTAGCCAGAAAATTGGAAGAGGATCAACAAATCGATCTATTCGATGAATTAATAACAACACGAGATAAACGAATCAAAAAACACAAAGCTAAACAAGCTCGTTTAATGCCGTTACTTCCCGATTAATTTTGTATGTCATGGAGAGTACAGTTTCATATATATTTTTTTTGTAAATAAAATATAAATATTGTACTGTAATTTAAAATAACATTTATTCATATTTTACATAGTGAAGTGAAGAGGGGGGAGGAAGGTAGCAAGATAGGCCGTTTATCATATTTCATGTTTATGATAAATACAAAGATAATTTCATATTTCGTAATATACGTTTTAAAGAAGAAAAAAAAAGACTACAAATTGTCGATTAAATAGCTTTCATAAAATTCCACTTAACCATTATATTCATATACTTATCAACTAATTGAATATAAGTTATACTCTAGAAAATTAATGATATTAATAATCCTAGTATTAGTGTTCAGTTTATTGAACCACATGAAGTACATTTCAAAAGTTATTATGAATACTTTTCAGATATCTTTTTTTTCTATAATCTCTTCACTGTAGTCTGTAATAAAACAAAAGTAGATAGATAAATATATATTCGATTAGATTGTAATTTTCTATGTTAGATTATTACATTATTTTTTCTTGTTAAATCAAATTATAATCTCTATTCATCGTAATTCTTAAATGAAAATTGACTATTCAACACAATACTTGTTTCATTCAAAAAATGTACAAATATACATCTATTATTTTCAAATATATAATAGAATAAAAGTATATGTATAGACTATTATGAAACATCTTAGTAGTCATTTGAGAATCTATCTACCATTTTGTTCGTATAAATTTACATAAAACTACTAAGTTTTGTAGATCTCACATCATGGATGGTAATTGAAAGTAATTTTGATTTAAACAGAAATGGTGCATGATTTTGATTTCAGCAACATACTTCAAACATTAGTAAGTGTTTACAATTTCTCGTTTCTTATACTCAGAATTGAGATTGCTAAATCTCTGTTACTATACTATCCATTTTATCTCATTATCACATGTTATCGTTATAAGTTTTATATTCAATATTTAGTTACCATTCGAATATGGAACCTTCGTTTCTTTCTTTTTAAGAATGGACAATCAGATGTCTATAAATCTTAGTGTTGATTTCTACACTGAGATCAAAACTCGTTACCTTTCAATTGAAAATCCAAAATTGTATACCACTGAGTTGCTAAATTGATTACTAAAACCTGTGACATTTTCACTAAGAATCGAAGTTCCATTTTAATTGATGTAAACAGCAGTTTAGTTTATTTTCTTTGTATCATAATCAGATATAATTGTGAAGACCACATCCAAAAGCAAGATGAAGGCATTTACTTAACCTCGAGAAATTCCCATAAACTGTATGATGATTGATAAGGATTTAGATTACTGGTATTTAAGTTGTTTAGTCCTGTAAATAATTCGTTACTCTAATATTTCTAATTACTTTGAAAGTTCACAAAAAACAATCAGTGACATTTTTTAAGCTATACAATCAAAAATACATGAAGGACTTAATGAAAATTCAAACTGATATCAGCTGGTAAAGTGTTAGATACAATGAGAAAAGTGTTTTAATCTGAGACTGTTCAGTTGTCCACATTCATAGTTCCACAAAATACAAGATCTATTTATATGCAACGTAACGATAAATTTAAATCTTGTATGAAGCGAACTCGAAACTGAACCAGAATAAACTGGTCGTTAAGTCATTCACTGTTTTTTTTTCAATTGCTTTTAAAGTAATAACATATATTGACATAAGATTACCTTTAAAATGAACTAGTTCTGTTGGTTATGCATAAGTGACGAACCAAGCGCTTACTTTTCTAACGAAACAAGATAGTTTCATGGAAATTTTTATTTGAATATATTTATCACTTACCTGTATAAATCTTTCTCTTTAATTATAATTGTTTGTAATAACACATTGACTTATTGCTTTACTAATCGTTTCATGTAAATTTCTTTGTGTTCTTAAAAATTCTCTTGTAAGATTTATTTGTTGTTTCAACATATTGTCCAGTGCAGTTAAACAAGGATTATAAGTTGTTAAAGCTAATTAAAAAATAATTGAGAAAAATTATAATCAATTCTTTAACAAGGTGTATATATAAATGTTACAAATTAACTGTAATAGTTTTCTAAGTAGAGATAGTGTCTAACAGTGGAATCCAGGAGGCACGTTTTATCCTGTTTGGGACTCATCAGTCGGGTGCTATTATATCCTAGAGTTGATATTTACCCCGGGACTCGAACCCGGTACCGTTCGCTTGAAACGTTATCGCGTACTAGTTTTCGTTGACAAATTATATTCATTATGTAAAATAATAACTTATTGCTATTATAAATGGTTCCAGTAAGTTTAATCAACCCAATGATTGTCAGAATATGTCTCTAGTGTTGCTATTCATGGTTCCTCCATTATACACTGAATTTTTTCTGAGTACTGAAATTCGATATATATGTTTCAGATAGCCAATTGCACAAACGGCAGAGAATAACAATTTCACAACTATCATAATTTACATCACATGAAACTTCTTGAAATATAACACTTACTATGTAATGTTTTGTAATTTATGAGCGATGACGTTATATTTTGCATTTTAAGAGTAGTGTTAATAGTAGAAGTAGGAATTTCTTCATATTTTATTATTGGAAGGTTGTGTGGAATATGGTAGTTTTGTGAAAAATCACTTGACCACACTGTTTGAACTTCAGCATCCTTTGTTTGTTGGGTTTCAGATACGTTTTTTGATATTCTGAAAAAAAAGCATAAAAAGTCGGTAAACTTAATTATACGCTGTTCACACTATGATTTAATACTCTATGTCAGTTTCGTTTACAGACTTTCAGACTGGAAAAAATCAGCTACTTAATACTTCTAGTTTTCGGTGGTTCTCCAACTATTGTTAGTTCGTGGTGAAAATTTACTATCACAGCACAAACTCGTTGAATAGTAATCCAGTGTTAACGCCTAGTGGGTTGTATAACTGAGAATGTAGAATAAAAATTAGACTAGGGTATAAGTTGAACAGAACTACAACCTCGTCCAGTTGTCATCTTGTGAATTTCATGTTTAATTCGGAATAATTATTTTTTAAGTTACTTAGTTACACTGCTTTAATTATTTTTTTTGTATTTGAAAAGTTTTACTTTCACGTAATATCCAGATAGTTATGTCTTTTTGTAATGTGATAGTCTCAGATCTTGTTATCAAAACAATGGTCAGATTATCAGTTCAGGCAACCCATGTTTTTACTAGTTAATTTTAATATCATAACACTGAAATTCAAATATATAAAATCCATTCTTGGAAATCATCATAATCGAATCCTATCATCCTATGCAGCATCTAATTCAGCAAACTCCGAATAGGTGAAATTTTCATTTATGTACTGTCAAGTATGTTAAACCTTCACCGTCTTATCAACCACATGAATTATTTACTGAATAATATCTGTCATTTTGGGTAGTTGTGTCGTCCAAATGCTGTTTCGTAAATTTAAGATCGTTATTTTTTTATTGAGCACTGGTTTCGATTGAAAAATGTCACGCTTTTATGAAATACAAAAGTAAATTATTAGTTTTGGGTAGTATTGTGTAAATTGGATACAACTTTATAAATAATTAGTAGTTTGACAAATAGCGTATTTGTACTTACTTTTTATATGAATTCGTTTCACGTAAATTCGTTTTATTCAATGGTCCATAGGAATTCGTAGGTGCTAATTGGTGGTTTGAGAAAACGTTATATAACACAGCATTAACACACATAAGATAGTCATAGATATTATTTCAAATTATATCAGGATCTTACTTCATTTAAAAGCATTTACTATGTTAGCTTTTGTGAACAATAACATAATGTTAATTTTATATCTGATTAAGTGGTTGGTGTTCTAACTACCCTGATAAATCGTTAACAGTATATAAACAAACCTACGGGATAAAAAATGTGAGAATATTGTGATTGGTAAATGATGAATGAAACAAATTGGTAGTGAAGTCGTAAATCGAGAGCACCATTCCTACAATTGAAGAACATATGGAACTTAAAAGAACTGTATGCCAACATCAAAGTCAGAATTTTCAGTACGAACGTCAGAACACTTCTGTTGTGCGGACTAAGGAGCATGTTACACCGGGAAGTGCAGGCAAACATCAAAGGAGTGAATAACAACCGGAAAGGAGAGTTTAAAATAGAGTGGGTGAGAAAATTCTTGTTGATAGCCTATGCTCTACGAGTAGTAACAGGCGTAAGTTGGTAATTCAACAAGGACGAATGGTACAAATAAAATTAACATCATGACAGAATATACCATGTTGAACTGAAATATCTGCTTAAGCCATTCAAAAAGGAAGAGGTTGATAGTGTTATAACCTAAAAAATATTGAAAACACCCAGTGAATATATTAGGCTAGATTCATCAAAATCTCTTTTACAGGAGTAATTATATCCTATGACGATTGGAATACTTTTACTTACTTGATGGTTTTTTATATCATTAATTTTTAATGTACCTCATGAATAGAACTTAGTTGAGATTATCCATCAACACTTGTAAACTTCTTAAAATACTTTCTAATCAAGCTATGTTTTTATCATGAAGACGTGTAAAAAATTAAACTAGCGAACATCACACGGCAAACTACAATGTACTTAAAGCATACAAAACACTCAGACCGTTAGTTTAAATAAGAATTTCATTGGAATTTTATGGGTGTATAAGTATCTAAGCAATGAGTCGCTTCACTCATTAGGTTGAAAATTATGTAACTTCCATACTATGAAAAATAATGTACTTGTAAAAATAGTATATAAATGTATTTGTTGAAATTAAATAACAGAAAACATATTCACTAGAGTTATTCTCCAGCAAAATAAACAATATGTGTAATTAATCATTCATTATCAACGAACCTGCATTATAAACTTTTTGATTTATTGAACAATCAGCCTTTTTTGTTTTAAGTGACGATGATTTCTGTGTTGTGATTAGATTGCATTTTAAATTTTCTTTAGTTGAACTAGTTAGATCTTGTTCATTTTCAAAATCATCTGAATATTCATCTATTTCACTAGTATTGTTTTCATTGTCCACTTGACAAGATATCTTTTCCAATGGAAGTTTTTTATTAGATATCTCCTCCGTCAAGCTAGAAGAATGGGAGTTTTCACATTCAATAATTTCTTCAATATCTATCAGTGATTTTTCATCTAAGAAGATAAATGGGTTCTATTGATAAGAATTTTAAGTATAAATACCATAGCAAAAAAACACCTCTAAGCTATTTTATGAGCATATCTTGCTTACATTGTTGCTCTAATGACGTTCTTTGTCTGTCCTTAAATTTGGGAAATTTTAAACGGAATAAAGAGAGGAAATGACATAAAGAGGACATTGAGATTACAATTTCAAGGAAGATAATAGCAGCTATAATAATCAGTTTCAAGTGTCTAGATACACGATCGATCTCCGGAGCTAAAAAAAAAAAATAGTGATCTACAGAACAGACATGAATGGGCTTGTCTAGTCTCATTGAGTATTAACAGCTGAGTTATCAATTCGATAGTATATACAGTGTGAATCTTTTAAAAATTTAATTCAATCTCTAAACACTATCATTTAGCAAACGTTGAGTAATGAAAACAGAACAGTAAACTAAAATGATTTGAAAGTGTAAGCCAAATAGTTTGAGTCAATAAAAATAGTGAAGACTTTATGGTTTTTATTGATTACTAGTACATATGCATAAGTATTTCATGTGCCAGAATCCTTGCAACTTTTGAATTTTGTTATTTTTCAAATATAGGAAAAAACTTTTTAGCTGAAATTCTAAACATTTGAGTCATTCCATTTTGAAACAGTACATGAATAAAATAAGAAATACATGGACTGAAAGTATGAACGTTTAATTAATCATCAATGATAAGATGTTTCAAACATGATTTAAAGAAAGCAAAGAAGTACATTAACCTTATTCAGGCTCTCTACTCGAACACAACTGGTCGAGTGAGAGATTATGGCGAACTGTCATCAGAATTGATTACCTCAAGTGGTGTTCGTCAGGGCTGTCCACTCTCTCCTTTCTTGTTCAACTTTGTCATTGACGTACTTTTAGAGATGACACTTTCCTCATCTAAATTTCCAGGGGTTGAACTTCTACCAGGAGGTTCACTTGTCGACTTAGAATATGCCGATGACATAGTTTTATTTGGCGAAGACGCTGACAAAATGCAGTCTTCTGACCACTCTAAGCAACAATGCAAACATGTTCGGGATGAGATTCTCTCCCTCGAAATGCAAAATGTTGCTTCAGGATTGGGTTGCATCGACACCCGAACCAATGATAGGGCGTGAAGTAGTTGAGTGTGTCGACCGCTTCACTCATCTTGGAAGTCTCATCTGCCCTTGTGGTCTGGTGTGTGACGAAATCTCAGCACGCATACTACAGAAGGCTCGACTAGCTTTTGCTAACTTGCGTCATTTATGGTGTAGGCGAGATATCCGTCTATCAACCAAAGGACGGGTTTACTGCCCAGCAGTTCGTTCCGTCCTGCTTTATGGCAGTGAAACATGGCCGGTAAGAGTAGAGGATATTCGTAGACTACTAGTATTTGATCATAGGTGTCTTCGAAATATTGCTCATATATCCTGGAACCATCGAGTAAGTAAAACAGTTGTTAGGAAACGGGTACTAGGTAAGGATGGCAAATCAATTGATGAAGTAGTGAAACTTCATCAGTTGAGATGGCTGGGACACGTGTTACGTATGCCCAACGACCGACTGCCTCGACGTGCGATGTTCAGTGGTATAGGAGTAGGTTGGAAGAAAGCTAGAGGCGGCCAGACCAAAACATGGCACAAGTCCATGAAGTCACTGACAAGTGGACTGAGTCATATTGGTAGGTGTAGACTACCTGGTTGGGGACCGCGAGATGATAGCAACCGATGGTCAGAGACCTTGAATGACATGGCTCAAAATCGTTTGCAATGGCGCAGGTGCATCCACTCTTTGTGTTCTCCCAAATTTTGATCTCCTGATTCCCCCTTGACTCTTTTTTTTTCTTCCCAAGTTTTATTTCACTGTATTATACTCTTTAAGTAAAATCTCCAAACACTAATCTTTCCGATTACTGCTTATACTCTTATTACCTCTACCACTACGGGATTTGAATCGACCACTGCATCTCTGTGCTAATGTGGTGTGGCAACTCGAACTGATGTACGTACGTACGAAGTTCTACGTTGTTACTGACTGACTGATTAAAGAAAGCAAATAAATAAATACATTTCAATTACTGAAATCAATTTTAATTTACTTAAAATAGAATTAATAATCACTGATTTCCTATATGGCAAGAATCTCATCAAATTAATTTGTCCTTCTAGTGATAAATGAGACTGATAGCTAGAATTTCCATTAACTAGTGTCACTGTTTATCCATAGTGCTTTTTGAGAGTGATATTTTATCAGTAATATCATTAAATATTTTGATAAGTAGTATTTAGAATCAGTAACATATCTAACTGCAAATCTGTAACTTCCGTAAAAACTTACAATTTACTTAATTTATTTTATTATACTTTTTCATGTGTTGATTTTGTTTCAGTGAACTTGTAGTTCTCCTCTACTCAGTTAGGTTAAATGCTACTCAGTTAGTCATGTCAGATGGTTGGAGGTTGGAACCTTGAACCAAGTTTTCATTCTGTGTGGCACTCATTATCAATGTCTACTTCTTTCATAATGGAATTGATACTTCCTAATGGATCTGAATCACCCAGCTTCACAGTCTGAGTCGTTACCACTGAACTGTTCCTTCTATAATTGACCTCCTGTAGGACTGAAGCATATTTACAATTGATTGGTCACTAAATAGTTATTAATGTCATATTTGTCTCATCATTTAGTTCTGATTGAAATCTATCTAGTAGGTCAGCTAGTTTGCTTAAAACACATATTCCGTATATATTATTAGTATTTTATATTTAATAATTTCAATGAGATTAAAGTAGCGACTTAAATGTTCAAGTTTAAATAAGAAAGAAATACTTTTCTCTGACAGGAAACGTTTGCACAATACATTGGTAATTTAACTTGAATGATAAAATTGGTTTAAATGCATGGACTAGCATTTTGCTAAGGTCTATTTAAAGGGGTTTCATAAGGATAGTCCTGTAATCAATCCGTAAAAACTAGTTTAAAATGTGACATTACAGATATAGGTTGTTTAATTATTGTCTATCCACTTTACATGAACCATTAGGTCAAAAATCTAATCTACATCACATCCAACAAACTGTGTAACAGTTACATGATAAGGATGTACTGACAGAGATGGTGGAGAAGATTTGTAGCTCAGGTGGATGATTTTGGTGGAGTTTTGTTCTCTGAGCTGGATGGTTTGATCGTGGAGCTTTCATCGTTCTTCTGAACGACATCATCAGCACAAACTTCAAATAGAAGTGAAGTGTTAGAATTTCTCCATATGTGTTTCACAGCTTGTTCTGTGCACCTCGATGTTGATTGGTTCTTGTTGACCTTAAATTTATCATTGTTTACTTCTTTGTTTTGGTTGTGTCTTCCATTGGTTTGATTTTCGTTCCTATATTTATGCTTGATTTTTCTGATTGGTTGATAAATTGGATTGATTTCAATATGTTTGTTGATTGCTGATTGACCTGAGTGCCAGGCTTCTAAAAATTCTCTGGTATTTTTGGAGTTTCTTCTGTCTAAGATTTCTACATTTTCCCAATCGAATGAGTGTCCGTAGTTATCCACGTGTATTGATATAAGTGAAGAGATATCATGGCGTTTGACTGCTAATTGATGTTCATGTAAGCGTAGATGGAGGGGGCGTCCGCTTTGCCCGATGTAGTGTTTGTCGCAGTTGGTACAATTTATTTTGTAGATGATGTTTGATTTGTTTTCCTTTGTTATTTCATCCTTTGGTTTGCATAGGATTGATTGTAGTGATTTTGTTGGTTTGTGTGCCACACCTATCCCGAAGTTTTTCAGCAGTCTCGTTGCGGTTTCTGATATTCCTTTTATGTACGGTAGGGTGATCCTTTTGTTGATTTTTGTGGTTGACTTGGGTTCTGATGCTGTGTGCCGTTGGTGCTTTTTGATGAAGTTGATTGGGTAGCCGTTCTTTTGAAATATGTCCTTCAGGTGTTTCTCTTCGTTTTTTCGTGCTGCCAATGTGCTGCAGTGTGTCCTCGCCCTCTTGAACAAGAGGGCGAGGACACACTGCAGCACATTGGCAGCACGAAAAAACGAAGAGAAACACCTGAAGGACATATTTCAAAAGAACGGCTACCCAATCAACTTCATCAAAAAGCACCAACGGCACACAGCATCAGAACCCAAGTCAACCACAAAAATCAACAAAAGGATCACCCTACCGTACATAAAAGGAATATCAGAAACCGCAACGAGACTGCTGAAAAACTTCGGGATAGGTGTGGCACACAAACCAACAAAATCACTACAATCAATCCTATGCAAACCAAAGGATGAAATAACAAAGGAAAACAAATCAAACATCATCTACAAAATAAATTGTACCAACTGCGACAAACACTACATCGGGCAAAGCGGACGCCCCCTCCATCTACGCTTACATGAACATCAATTAGCAGTCAAACGCCATGATATCTCTTCACTTATATCAATACACGTGGATAACTACGGACACTCATTCGATTGGGAAAATGTAGAAATCTTAGACAGAGGAAACTCCAAAAATACCAGAGAATTTTTAGAAGCCTGGCACTCAGGTCAATCAGCAATCAACAAACATATTGAAATCAATCCAATTTATCAACCAATCAGAAAAATCAAGCATAAATATAGGAACGAAAATCAAACCAATGGAAGACACAACCAAAACAAAGAAGTAAACAATGATAAATTTAAGGTCAACAAGAACCAATCAACATCGAGGTGCACAGAACAAGCTGTGAAACACATATGGAGAAATTCTAACACTTCACTTCTATTTGAAGTTTGTGCTGATGATGTCGTTCAGAAGAACGATGAAAGCTCCACGATCAAACCATCCAGCTCAGAGAACAAAACTCCACCAAAATGTACTGACAGACTACTTCCTTTGAGGATGTAAGTTACAGGTTTACCGCTATTTTTGTCAAATGATATTTGAAGATAACACCGGTGATGTCTTCTCCGAGATGCCTGTCTATGAAGTATGGACAGTGCTAAGTATTCATAAATATTGATTGCAATGAAATTATTTCCAGGATATCATATATATATATATACCCAGTAAGACCTTTTTTAATATTAAAATTATTATTACTTAGATCAGTTAAGAAAAGTAACCCCGCTCTGTTCTTCCAAATCTATGACTTTAATCACTGAGCTTTGATTAATTCTACAGAACTATCATATCTTGACACAATATACATTCTAGGGCATTAGGAAACTTTATTACGAATATCATCGACAAGAGCAATAGGTTTATTTTTTGACTAAAAATGTAAAGAGATTTATTTAGGAGTCCATTTCTCCTACAAATAATGTAAACTCAAAGAGCACTAAAAAAACAGTTTAATGAGTATTCGACACCTGATGGAGATCTCGTTAAATTTTAGTGAAATGAATAAGTTAACACATCGAGTTAGGTATCAATGTCCTAATATACCTGCGTTGCTCGAGGAGGCTCAACTTCAGCCAAATAAGCAACTGCATTTTTACCTGTGACTTGCATTCTTAAATAAATATGCTGTTCATTTAGGACCAGTAATGTTTTCTTTATTGTTGATCGATTGGGTACATATAAAATATCAGAATTAAACTTATTGGAAACCTAATATCAGTATTTCTAGGTTCCAATAAAGCTCACTTTTCATATGTATTTTACTTTTGATTCAAATAATGTTATACCATCCCAAATATTAGCAACAAATCAGAAACTCACTGTACGATTTGTCAAAACGATTAGTTGAGCAATAACTTCCGCAATCCATTTCATTCTCATTCACTAATTCATCAACAGATAATATTAATTGATCATCAAATGTACTCATTTTGCTTTCAATTCGTGAAACTTCTATAGAAATTTAATTTTAGTAAATAAGGAATTATAAGTTTATAGATTGAATTTTTTAATCAATAAATATTTCACAAATGTAAAGTAGGAACCTTAAACTTATACCTCAGAAGGTATACTAGTTAGTAATAAACGTAATAAGCGTCATGGTATTGAATCGTTTATAATAATATCAGGTGAACAGATATTTGTCTTAACGTTCAAATGCAAATCCTCAAAACAAGTGAAAACAATTAGACTTATTGTTTAGTTTTACTATTTTCAGCCTACTTTCGATGTTCTTGTTTAATGTCATATTATTTATTCAATATTTTGAAGTGTATTTAACTTTTTATATGGTCTATCTATTAGAATAAGCAATATTCCTCTGTTACAATGAACCACTTATCTTACCAATTCATACTCCTATTTCAATATTTTGGACTATTATATTTTTCTCAGTTTATTTCTACTGTGTACCACACTAAAAATCCATTTACTTTGAACAGATCGTTAATTTATAAAACTTGGGGTCTGAATTATTTTCGTTAATTGCTATTATGTTCACTGTCTACAAATTTATCTGTTGCTTTCTGATTTGTAGTATTTATTATAATTTTGTTTTATTCACTCATATAAAATACCTACCTTTCTTTCTATTTTGCGTCTAACTCCCTATATCCTAACTGTTATGTCCCGATAAGCATAACTTTTGGGATCCATTTATGGACCAATACTATAAGTATATTTTTATCGTATAATTGTTATGTAACTAAACGATTCATATCCGTGTCCCTCTAATTATGAGCTTTATTTTGACCTATGAACTATTACTATACGATTTACCATTCTTAAATTATGCCCTGTCTATTAATTGCTACCTCACTCATTCACAGACACATTGGGCCAAATTTTGTATAAATGTTGTTTCCTATTTTATTGGTACGATGTGGTCTGTCTGGTTGGTATATAAACTCAATATGCTTGAAATAAATGATTCATATTGCAGAGGCTGAGATTGGTGTTCTGGACTTAACTGGCTGGATTAGGCGGAAAGCAGGACCAATAAGGACTCTAGACTGCTCGTACACGTTTTATGCATCATTGGTCCGATCGATAATTCACTGCTCTCTAATTGGCAGTATCATTACGTTATACATTAACAGGGCACGCAGGTCACAAGTTATAACACTAACCATTTTTGTTCCCAAATACTTTCAACGTTTATTTTTGTTACTTATTAATTTATATAGTATATAGCACCTGATATAACGAATGAATTAAAACATTTTTTCTCTTTCTCTCTGCAGTATGCTAAGCTAATACAATAATATGATAATAAAACCGATATATGTGACCGAGCTTATAATACAGTTAGATTGAGTACTCAAAAGATCCGCTACACACAGACCGTATCACGTTATATTAGATGCCTGATTCATGACCAGGAAGAAGGAACCAGAGTAACTCTAGACTACACTTTATCCCACGCAATTACAAGCAGTCACTCACAGTGTGTCCGGAGTAGAAATCAATTAGAGGAAATGAAATCATATATGTAATGGTCAGTAAGTCGGGTTCCTATTTATCCACAATTAGTGACCAATCATACTTACTTTCGCTACCACAAATCACCACAGTACATTTAAACAAATCCAAAGAGTTATCTATTAAACTAAATTGTATAATTAAGATTCTCCTACGCATTCTACTGTCATACTGTTATTTCATTAAACTAGATAATCTAAATTTGGAATATAGGTACACTAATACAACATACTGGTCGCTAACTAGTGATAGACTAATTGATTTTAAGATCAAGATTTCAAAAACATATTGTAACACTTCTGGGTTTTCATTTAACACACAAAGGACTCCTACATAGTACAATTGCTATCTGGAAAGTTGACTGATATCTTGACTACATCACAGATTTCAGAGGTTGATAAAACTTCATTTATAGTTATTCGTCTATTCTGAGGTTTCATTAGCCACTCAACCATCAAAATTGACATTACATAAAGACAAGGGTTCAGTACTCGAAACTATTCACTACCCTGTGATTAACTTCAGCGATCCCCCACATTAATTTCGAGTTAATACTTCGTATTTACTTAAATGTTTGTTAAGAATTTTTGAATTTCCTTACAGGGGATTTAAAAGCTTTCACAATTTTTGAGCAACTGACAGGATGTAGACAATATGGGCGGGAAGCTATATATATAAACTTACCTCTACGTGCATCAGTCAGTGTATTCTCATCATTGAAGGACAAAGCTGAAATTCTACTGAAATCATTCTCATTATTTTTTTGTACTACTAATGGTTCATTCACAACATTATTATTGATACAATATTTTTCAAATTCCTTTGATTTTGTCCTATTTGAATTTGTCAACTTTTAAATTAAATAAAAATAATCCATTAGTTTGTTTTAATTAATAAAAAGGTAAATATTTAAAAAAATACATATAAATCAAGCTGTTCTCTGTTATAAAATTAAATTACACAATGATATCTTTACAAATTCCTTCAAGATAATAAATAAATAAATAAAAACGTTGAATTTACCATGTTTTGCCGAATTTATGCCGTAAGGGGTTTTGTGGAGATTGTAATAATTTCAATGGTTGAGATCATGAGTCAATTGAAGCTAGACCATCATGGAAAACCTGGAAATACTGGACGGCCGTTTCGCCTATTGTAGGACTCAGCAGTGCGCATCCACGACCCCGTCTCGTGGGATTTGAACTCAACAAGATTAAGTTACCAGTCTTTTTCTGTTTTTGTGAAGTCTTTTACAAATGTTTATTATGCAACTTTTCACAACACTTATCTAAGCTATACTCACTTAGATAATTTTACTTTATATGTTAAGGATTGCACAATGACAATATTAATATCGCGTTTTTAATGTATATTCGAGAATAGCAATATATTCAACTTATAAGTATTCATATTATTCAATAGATATGAACATCTCTTATAGTTCATTCATACTTATTTCTCTTTCAGTCAGCTACAACGTAGGACCAGGCACATATATGCATCGGTCTAAGTTGTCATACCTCACTAGCTCAGCAAGATGAACACCGGATTCATATAAGTAGTTAAGTCAATGGTGGTGATATATATAAGAAAGATTGCATATAAGGATATAGTACCGATTTAAAGAATTAGTTCGTAAAAAGGAAGATGTGAGGCGATTTCAATCTCATAGTCTAAGGGAAGGCAGAGAATGTATACACCGACGCCATTGTGATCGATCCTGAGTCATGTCACCGAGAGTCTCCAACCACTAATTACGATAGTCACGCGGACTCCAATCAAGTAGTCTGCATCTACCAACATGGCTCAGACTACAAGTTAGTGACTTCAAGCACTGATGCCACGTTTTGGTTTGGCCGCCCCTAACTTTCTTCCAACCATCTCTAACACCCGTTAGCATTGCACGTCGTGGTAATCGGTGTTCAGGCATACGTAACACGTGGCCCAACCACCTCAGTCGATGAAGATTCACAACCTCATCAACTGATTTACCATCACTACATAATACTTTACGTCTAACCTCACTATTACTTACCCGGTGATCCCAGCAGATGCGAGCAATATTTCTAAGGCATCTGTGGTCAAATACTAGCAACTTACGAGTATCTTCTACTCTTAATGGCCACGTTTTGCAGCCGTAAAGTAGAACAGAACGAACTGCCGCGCAGTGTACTCGTCCTTTTATTGATAGACGGATATCTTTCCTTCGCCATAGGTGACGTAAGTTGGCAAAAGCCAAACGAGATTTTCGAATCCGTGCTGAGATTTCTTCAGGCACCAATTCATTAGGGCTGATCAGACTTCCAAGATAAGTGAAGTTGTCAACGCGTTCGACTACTTCACTCCCTATCCTTAGTTCAGGTGTTGACGCAGACCAGTCCTGAAGTAGCAGCTTGCATTTAGAGGGAGAGAGGCGCATTCCAAACATTTCGGCATCATTGCTCAGTGCTACCAAAAGACTGCATTTTATCAGCGTCTTCACCGAACAGGACTATATCATCTGCGTATTCTAAGTCGATAAGTAAACTTCCTGGAAGGAGATCAATGCCCGAGAATTCAGTCGACGAGAACATTGTTTCCATCAGTAGGTCTATGATGAAGTTAAACAGAAATGGAGAAAGTGGACAGCCTTGACGGACACCACTTGAGGTTGCAAAACTAGATGACAGTTCGCCATAAGCCCCGACTCGATTAGTAGTGTTCGAGCAAAGAGCCTTCACAAGGTTTATATACTCCTGGGGTACGCCTTTCAATGACAGACACTGCCATAGAATCTCGCGGTCTACAGAGTCAAATGCTGCTTTTAAGTCAAGAAAGACCACCATTGTCGGACACCGATAAGTATGCCTGTGTCCTTTCTCTTTACATTATTCTTTACTGATGAAAGCATTTTAAATGCTATGTTATAAAGTATGTAAGCTGATTTTTGATGATCAATACTATTATGCTTAATCTTCAATACGAACGTTAAAATAGTTTTTTTATGGAGCTGAAACATAGAGAACTACCACAACTATTTTTAGAAAGGTACAATTATTTATAAATAATTGTCTACGCAAGATACTGAATGTTCACTGACTGGTCACTGTCAGTCATAGCCTACTATGGGAGAGAACAAACGAACTTCCAGCGGGAATTAAGAAATGGTGCTGGAGGTGGATACGACACATTGAGAAAATCATCAAATTGCATCACAGGGCAAACGCTAATTTGAAATCTTGAAAGGAAACAGAAAATAGGATGGCTAAAGAACACACTGTGTTGAGAATTGGAAGAAGACATGAAGAAGAAACAACTGGAAAGTACTACCCAGGGCAGAGTTGAATGGAGAATGCTGGTGAGCGGCTTATGCGCCTCGACGATGGATAACATGCTTAAATGTAATCAAGTACTATTATGTTTAGGTTGTAAGCAACTGATGAGAAACTCCGAAATATAATTCATGTTATTTTACTTTGTTAATTATTCTTGATTAGGTGAAATGTGTTTTCAGTAAACACGAATATGAACTTACTTTGCTACTGAATACCTTTTGTGTTGAATATTTATTAAAATATATTGACGTTTTTCCTGCACTAAACGGTGTCAGTAAGTCTTCAGTATTTTCATCTTCAGTTGTAGCTGGAGATTGTTTTTGAACTAATATAACACAAATACCAAAGTATTAAAAACTGAATTAACGTTCATCATGGCAAAACAGTTATCAGAAATGAAACAACTAAGCTGTCATCTATGGAACTTAATATAAATCATAATGGGAAGTACGAAATAAGAAATAACCAAGACATCATTAATGAAATCCTGTGTGAAAGAGAAACAGTCGTTATAAAGTTTACAAATCACTGACATTATCAAGTGATTATTAGATGATTCCCGTTAAATTATAACTATCCAAAGGACATTGTCTACGCAGGACGAACTTCAGTATCTTTAGTTTAAAAAGTGCAAGCCACTAAAATAACCTTCAAGCCTATAAAGAAGGTGTTTTTATCTTATCATGATAATTTTACGTCTTTTTAAGCATTATGTCAATTTGTAAGTGTCATTACCAAGGTTTGACTGCGTAATTTCGAATAAATTGAGCACTGGGTAGATTGATATAAATAACTAAATAATATATTCGTAATATCCCAATGAGTAGAAAAATTAGATTTTCTGACGTTTCGTGACTTAGTGTGAGCCACTTCTTCAGACAATAAATAAATAACCGAATTAAAATTAATCTGAGTTTAAATCTTGACTTGTTTATTTATTTACTTTCTGAAGTGGCTCACACTAAGTCACGAAACGTCAGAAAATCTAATCTTTCTACTCATTGGAATATTACAAATATATTATTTATCTATTATGTAAATTTGATTATTTCTTTAGTATCTGTTATTTACATACTGACACCACCATAGTTTGTATTTTTTTAATACAGTTCCATATTTCAGTGTAATAAATTGATGATGAATGATTTCAGGACAAAGTCTTATGGTCAAGCTCTTGTTGTATATTTCGAAAATCGTCTGCATTTTAAACTTAGACCTAATAACTGTAAGATGTATCGTTCAAGGTGGCAACTAGAAAAAACTAAATTTCAAACCTTATTTTAGTCTCATCATAGAACCTAAATATTTAAACCACTAAGTGTTAGCCGGTTAATGATTGAGAAATTAAACATATAAATGTAAAAATCACAATATAAAATGATAAAATATATAAGTACTTAGAATGGAGGCTAAAAATAAAAAACAGTCAATAATTTTTGGTACTGAATAGCAGTTGTGCTATATCTTAATAAGGAATGGATTGGAAAATAAGAACCAAGAGATTTAAAATCGTTTATTTAGTAGTATCGAACTTCTCGTGGGCATAAAATCTCGAAATTTGATTTCGTATCCAATTGTGGTTTTAAACTGTTGAGCAAGTTCAAATCATTAAAAGCAGCTGTAAGGAGATCCTCGGTTTTGACAGTTCATTAGCTGTCACCAAGCAATATGACAAATTTGGAAAAGTTAGAATAACTGTATACATACTACAAAGTATTGTTCCACTCCAAATGCTACGTCTCTTAATATTAACAAAAGAATTATAAACAACGATCAATATACAACTGCTACCAGTTTTGTTATTACTTGATACACTAATCTACATCGTGTGCTATATTCCTCCACCAGAATTTTGACTGTCATTTCATTTCCGCACACTTGCTGTTTTTCTCTGTAACCTAGTGTTCTAGACGTAACCAACCATGCTCCTCGACTGGTACAACTAACCTTGAGCAGCGATAATTTACTCCTATTGATCTACAGCTCTCTCTTGTTCATTAGCCATGAGTCCGAAAATATTTCTGGAGCAAGCTTCTATTATTATCACGTATCCCGATTGTTGCTGCTAACTCGAAGTGGCGGTCGAGCTTACCTATTGTGATGACTCGACTGAGTTATATTAGCTGGAACATATGTTTCGTTAAATCCTAAAATGTCTGACAGGTCGGTTGGAGAGCGGTAAGACCAAAAGCAGCAACCTGATGTTCTACGATGAAGTCGTACTGCTGACTGTAGAGGGGTGTAACAGCATTGAGGTGTGTCCATCGAACAGCCAGCATCTGCAGCTGTGCTACTATCTCAAAAAGGAAGGAAGGGGTTAAAAAGTTCGACTCCGAAAATGTCTCACCTTACCACATAGACTTCCGTTTCCGGCAGTAAGGTCTTTTAAAGTGAAGAGCTAGCACATCATAATTTTACCATAAAAAAGCCGTGCGTGACCGACTTTAAGCAGTTGTCCCTTGAGCTTTGGGGTCACGGTTCCCGATCGCCATAACCACTAATTCAGCTGCTTTTTCAGTCTACTTAACAAGAAATATCCTTCCACGGTGTGAGCACCAGGGAAGTGTCAACAGCCTTTAAACCTCTATCAACACCTAAGATAATCTTGTTGACTATCAAATCCTTCCCTCACTTCTTAATAATTCTTCCACCCCCCCAACTAACCCTTCTTGTATATTCGAACTTCGTGTCAAGTAGAAAAACAGGTTTCTTTAGCTAACAGCGTCGAATCTCCAGCCATCAGTATATGCTGCGTCTTCAAAACGCGCATACGCAGTCAAAGTACGGTAACTCATTCGACCTTGCCTTATCGACATATGGAACCGGCAAGATTTTACCCTTCGAGTATCTGGAGGACTCACTACCACTTCCCGTAGTCCCGCTCGTGCAGGTATAGCATTAAGTTCAAAAGCAGAACAAGCTCTATTAGACTGGATTGCAATAGACTTTCGCTTGTGTGTTGTCGGACCAAACACGATAGTAGAAACTCGAAAAGACAGGGTCACACTCCGTTACCTTTTCGTTGTCTTTGACTACGCTCCAAATGATTGCAGCGTAGATAACTTTCCGTAGTGTTACTCCTCAGTCATTTTGTAAAGAGCTTCTTCGTTCAAAACATCCAACCACCACAGCTGAAGTACTAATTGGAAGCAATCACTTCTCATTCAATAAGATCTAATTGTTATCTAACCTCGAAACTCTTTATATCATAAAATTATCAAGTCTCTAAAATGAAACATTTGACACAACTATAGGAAACTTCGAAAAACCACAGGATTCATTTACCTACCAACATTTTTATGAATTCGTTTCTCTGGATTTCTTAAAAACCGTCTCCCACCTTCAGAACTTTCACTTGATATTTCATCGATCATATATCCAGATATTTGCTCACTCAATCGAATTGTTGTCTGTTTCTTGTTTTTCATTGGTGACAAACTTTGTTGCAAATCAGAGCAAACAAACGTTGTTTTATTAGTAAAAGTGGGTAATAATATCCCAGTATTTACTATTTTTTACCACAAATTGGCTCGAGTTGAAAATATTTACTACCGAATCTGGACCTGATAATTTAGTGTTTTCGCGAAACATGAAAGTACTGGCCTGCACCTTTTGTGAAGTGGTGCATCTACATTGATAAAGTCACTGAATGGCCCACTAATGCTCCCAGAATTTCAGTGATTCTCTTGCTGATATTACCGTGATAAAATCTAACTAGAAATTACATGACTGTTCACGAAATAATAATACTATTCGACATTAGCTGTCCATATTAATATTGAATCATTTTCGCCATAAAAAATCCACCCCTGATCTAGGTGATCCAGTAAAACTCCAATGAAAAATTTCTAAATGGCTAGTGGGACTGACTCAACATAATCTTCCATAACTCTGAATTTGTCAACAAGAAGATATTTATCTTTAACCATAATAGACCAAAGTAGCCTAATATTCGATAAATTTATTGAATCTTACTCCGTTTTATTGAAATGTTTTGTCTGTAGAACGTTACGCTAGTAGTCTTCATCAATGATTTAGCCCATTGGTAAACAGTAGGAAATTATAGGGCACTTAACATTTATCTCATTCTGGTTCAAAACTTGACCGGGAAATTTACAATTTCTCACAAAACGAAATCATCCACAGCTGTGCTCCAAAAATCCATATGTGGTGAGAATTCTGTGTCAGTATCTGACTCCAGTTTAAGATTCATGTGTAGCACAATCAAATTCGTAACTAATCAATGTGATCGCTAGGCCGAGACACGGTACTAGAAAATTAGAAGTTGGCTCGCATTACACCAATTCTCAAAGGAGGTCGACGCAGCATACTTTGAAGCTACCGGCCGGTAGCACATCTCTTAATACCTACAAAAATTATGTAGTCCCTGATATTCGATGGTCCATGTGACTACCTCCTATCCATAGACGTTTTTCCACCCCAACAGAGCAGTTTCAGAAAGCACCACTCTTGTGTAACTAACCTGCTGATCGATGTGGACAACCAAGAGGATGAACTGGCACTTCAGGAGGATCTGACTCGACTTCAAAGTTGGGTGGACGATAACGGGCTTACCTTTGGCACTTCAGTGCAAAGTAGTTTGAATGAGACACGTTACAGACAACGAATACAACTTAGGTAACTTCCTTCTAGAGGATTCCCAAGTTGAAAAAGAACTGAGGGTGTTGAAACCCTATGATCTGAAGTCTTACGTTAATTGTGACAAAAATACCTTTCGAGCAAACCTTGTACTGGTAACGTTATAACGTATTTTAGGGCAGTTCAGTGGAAAAACTTTCCACCTAATCTTCAACAGTTTGATTCGACCTCACTTGAAGTCTGAAAGTACAGTTTCCTCCTTCAATCCAAAGGGATGACAATACATCGGAACGTATCTAAAGGCGAGCCACGAAATTAGTCCGAGGGCTCAAGTTCAAACCTTTTGAAGGGCTTCTAAAATCACTGAAACTTTACCCACTAATATATGGGCGTCTCAGACGTAACCTAATGACACGGAATCCTAAACACTTCCGGTCATCCTCTTATATACCTACTTAGGCTCAGTCCTAAAAAAACCTTAGGGATAACACCTAGAAATTAGAGGAACAACATAGTAGAACAGACTGTATGCACACCTTTTATTCTTTACGAATGGTCAAATCCTGGAGTTTTCAACCATCTGAAATGGTTCAGACAACTTTTCGGAAGTCTTTTGAGGGATAAATTAAACCAAAGAGGAGGAGGGATTATTCCGTACACGAAAAGTACCCTAACCATAAGATTAGCTGAGACAGTAGCACATGTTTCAGGGACTTGTGAACTGGTAATATGTAAGTTGAAATGCCGACGGCAAGGTATTGAAGTAGTTGTAGTATATCGCAGTCCAGAATGTGTAGCAGATGATTTCCTCCTAAGCAAACTTAAGTCCTGGTGTAACAACGGTAAAATTCTTGTAGTAAGCGACTTTAATCCACCATATATAAACTGGGTTAACTTAGGAGTAGGGTCATCCATATCGTCGTTCGACTGCAAACTGTTAGAAACCTCGATTGGATTAGCATTATTCCAACACATTAGAGATCCCACAAGATACGACTTAAGAAACTCTTCTTCTCTTTTAGATTTAATTTTCACACACGGTGATGATGTTGATCAAATGGCTTTTCTCCCACCACTTGGGAGAAGTGACCATGCACTCATCTTATTCATATTCATGGCTGAGATTGCCTGTCAAACAGTTGCGCCGGCCCGTCCTAACATATGGAAGGCAGATATGCAGGCAATTAACTCCGCAGCATCGACTGAAAACTGAAAAATTGACTCAAAGGCACCAGTACAAGAGGCATGGACTCTATTCAGGCAGTTATACAATCGGGTAACTCAACCATACATACCCTGAACTGCCCCAAAGAAAAAGAAGCACGGACATCCCTAGATAGGGCGGGATATTCGACGCTTACTAAGACAAAAGAAGAAATGCTGGGATGTTGCCATCCGCCTCGGCACGGCGGGTACGATGGAACACTACAGATCGATAAGAAACGAGTGTATAACAAAAATTCAGGAAACTCAAAGAAAATATGAAATGCAGCATGACAATATGCACTCAAGCAGCCCAAGAGAATATTCTCGTACATAAACTACAGAACAAGGATGCATCATTGGATTCCCAACCTAATTAAAGTAGGAAGTAAATCCGAAATGATAGAGGAAGATCAGGAAAAAGCAGAGGCTATGGCTGACTATTTTGGGGCAGTTTTCACTCAGAAACCTCCTCTAGAGAAAGAACCAGACCCAAATACAGAGTCAACAAACCAGCTGCTCACCGTGGACTTCGACCAAAACGATGTGCTTAAGGCTCTTAGCACCCTAAACATGGAGAAGTTAACAGGACCAGATGAACTACACCCCAAAATCTTGAGATATATTACCCGAAATATCGCGGCCCCACTGACTGTGATATTCAATATGTCACTTGATCAAGGTGTGTTACCTATGGACTGGAAGAATGCAATTGTCACTCCCATACATAAAACAGGTCCACGGCAAGTTCTATCGAATTACAGACCCCTAAGCCTCACCAGTGTTGTAATTAAAATACTGGAAATAATAATCAAACGGACCATAACGGCATTTATGGAAACCAATAACTTGCTGAACATGGCACAACACGGTTTTAGAAAGGGTCTATCCTGTACAACGAACCTCCTTATGGCAATAGAGTTCTGAATTAATGCACTAGACAACGGAAACTCAGTGGATGTTGTCTACATAGATTTCAGTAAGGCTTTTGACAAGGTGCCAACTAATAGACTGCTATTGAAGCCGGAAAACCTTGATATTTCCGGACCTCTTTTAAAATGGATTAAGGATTTTCTAGTAGGTCGTAGACAAAAAGTAAGAATAAATTCCAGGTGCTCCATCTGGAGACCAGTACTTAGTGGAGTACCACAAGGTTCCGTCCTAGGTCCTTTACTTTTTATAATGTACGTTAATGATCTTACAAGTATAGTACAGTCTCCAATGTTATTACACGCTGACGATGTAAAAATTTGGCGAGTAGTAACTGGAGACAAAGACGCATTTACTCTTCAGGCAGACTTAAATAATATGATAAACTGGTCTAAAGAGTGGCTGATGCCTATCAACTCGGAAGTGTGTCTACATGCACTTGGGGGATTCAAAGGTTAATACGTACAACATAGTGGATGTGTCATTACCAGTAGTCCGGTCTCATAAGGATCTAGGGGTGACAGTGAGTGATGATCTTAAGACGACGGCCCATTGCCGGGAGTTTGCAGCCAAGGGGTTTCGATCCCTCTGGGTTTTAAAAATGACATTCACTAATTTAGATACTACCATGTTCACCACAGTATACACATCCTTAGTAAGAACTAAGCTAGAGAACTGCGTTCAGGCTGCAAGCCCCTGCTTAAAGGGTAACTCGGACATACTAGAAAACGTACAGAGGGCAGCTACCCGTGCAATTTCGGAACTCCGGGGTTTGTCATACGAAGAGCGGCTTGAAAAACTGGACCTCTTTACTCTGTCCTATCGCAGACTAAGGGAAGATCTAATTTGATGTACAGAATACTGAGAAATGATTTCGGACCTAACTTATTCTCTCTCTTTCTTCCCACTAGATCGGGATACCTCAGAGGACATAGCAGGCGAGTAGAAAAGTCAAGAACGAACAAAATAATCGTGGCATACAGGTTTTTACACCGAGTCATCAATACTTGGAACCTGCTGTCTGAAGCAGTGGTATCCGCACCTTCAATTGACTCTTTCAAGAGAAGACTGGACACTCACAGAAGCATACTAGAAAAGGAATAACATAGGCCGTATGCCTTCAGTCCTTACTACACAAATCTGAATCAGAATCTGAAAACTCGACATATTCTTCAGGACTAAGGACAGTATCTAGTTATCATCAAATGTACTCAAGTTCCTACCTGGAGGCATCAGTGATCCACTGCTGTTAGATACGGAAATCCGTTAAGCAACAGCTTCTATTTCGTCCGGGCATCAATTAAAAATGTGAAGTTTTCACAAAAGATACTAGTACTAAATTTAATTCAGTGCACTGAATGGGCTACTATGTGTCCTTGGCCTGTTTTCAAAGCAATGATCTACAGTCTACCAAGACTTTAGATATCAATATAAATAAGCAGACTGCGCAATGAAATTTTCTGAAATAAAATATAAGGAGTCGTACATAAATTTCAATACTTATGTACATTCTGTTCAGCCAGTTCAGGAATTATGGTTGGATGTCAAGGTGACATTTTTATTACTTTAGTTCATACCTTAGATTAACAATTAATCTGTTCCTCTGGTTATTTCAAATAAGAATAAGGGTTTATTAGATTAATGATTGCAACCGGTCATAACTTTGCCATCAGAGACTCGTCTGTTGTACAGTATTTACAACAATATAACAATTAATAGCACATTAGTCTCTTTACATATCAGAATATTATTTACCATAAAAGCATTGAATTGGGAACAACAAAAATGTTAATGTGCCAACCTCTAGGAGAAATGTCCCTTGGTGCGAAAACTTTTTTATTGAACAATGAACACCAACAATCGGTCCATCGTCGAATTCTTTCTCGTCAAGTTCACTCAATTTCTGTCTCGCTTCAAAGCAACGTGGAACATGAACTAGATTCTTCAGAAGTTGGTGTTCAGGTGATCACCAGAACCAATGTCACTGTGGTTCACTTCATTGAGAAAAAACATCAGACTATATGAAACCACCTTTTCCATACCCAAAAACTTACAATCTGTTTCCTGTGTTCCACAAACCATTGCCTTGATTTCCATGAATACTCGTTTCACGGGAGCAATTTCCTTCAGGGACATGAAAAAACAAAATTTATTGGGGTTACTGCCATAACACATACAAGTGTTCTCACAACTGTGGATAAAAATGCCTTTTTCCGCCATATCTGTTACTTGGGGAGACTTCTTCACTGTTATCCTCCAGATGTCAACTATCCAGAAGTATTAAAAAGCTATTACACATCACCACCGATTGATGACGACTGTATGGTGTCTCTTCGATACTGGTACAGAACTTCGAGTACTTCCAATAATTTTGGTCTATTGTCAAAAAGAAACACGTATGCAAAGGGTAATGCGTTACGCACGCAAAACCTCCTGTTACATTTGTTAGTCTTGATTTCCTTATCCCTTTAGTTACACACCCGCGATATTGCTATTTGTTGATATTTGTTGCTGTTTGTTCATATTTTAAATATGAATAAATTATGTATGTATACTGAGCTGCTAACGTACTTTTTTCTTGTTGTATCTCTCACTTCTTCTACATACTGTGCTCTTGAAGACTTTCTGCCAAAGCACACTATAATGTCACGGCTTGCGCAAAGCATTACAATGCAACGTTTCTCATGAGTTTCAGTTTAGGAAACAATTAATACTGTAGGTGAAATTTGTTAATGTTAGGTCGCTAATGTTATTGGTTCTCAACCGTATGATCCTAGAAGCTAAACGTATGATAACTGAGATTTACATTCAAAATTTAACACTCATAAAAGTTCGGAAATGGTGAACGCGACAACACTTAATCTATAAGGCATGGGGTGTCCATACAGGCCAGGTCACTCCATGTAACGTCTTCTTATTTTAAGTTTAGATGCTGTCCTAAGCCCGAAAATGTTCCTCGGAAGTCAAAAATAGCATATTTATAAATGTTACGATAGGATGAGTCACTATAGATAAGAATGTGTCCCCATAACTTTATAATCAATGCACCTTATAAAACACCAAATTCACCAAGCAGCACACCACGGTGAAGGCTGTATCTTCCGCAAAATTTTGATCATGCCTGTGAACGAACATGCCTCGGGTAACAGGCTGTTGTTCGAGAAAGTATTATTATTAACGTAAAATGTTATAGATTATATAGTCATGCAATTGTAGATGACCCAGCCTGTAGTTCTTATGGAGTGAGTGCTGGTCCCGAGCCCCGGCAGGAGAGGAGGGTTGGGCATGGAGTCGGCAACCACAACCCGTAGGAAAAAATCATGCTAAAAAACGCCAACCACATTAAACAAATTAAACCATTTAACTTCTACCCTGAAATTTGAAGGAAGAATCATGACGCCTAACGATGACAGTCGAAACTCTTTGGAAAGCACGATGTCGATGTCCCTTCTAACAGCCGGAACAACAATTAATATAGGTACACGGAACATCAAGATAATATAAGAGACCTGAAGGACCAGTAAACTAGCAACGGAAATGAGGAGATACAACTTGAAGGTGCTCAGAACAAGTAAAACCGATTGGACCTAAGCTGGACGACAAAGGCTAGATACGGAAGAAATGCTTCTGTACTCTGGCCACGAAGAAGAAAATGCTTCACACGCTAAGGACAAGAACCTGACGATTTACCAGCCGAAGCACTAAAGCCAGGTATAGAATCAACTGCAAGCACTGTCCACGTTTTATTCAGGAAGATTTGAGAGGAAGAACAAGTTCCATTTGTGAACAAGTTCTGATGAACTAGAAACGACACCTCACCAAGATACCAAAAAAGAGATCTGAGCAGATGTGGGAACTATAGAGGCACCACACTACTGTCAGTACCATGAAAGGTTTTCGGCAGAGTGTTGCTGAACCAGATGAAAGACGCAGTAGACGTCCAACTTCGAGAACAATAGGCTGGGTTGCGCAAGTATCGGTCGTGTACCGTCCAAGTTGCTACAATACGGATCACCATCGAACAATCAGTTTGATGTAACTCGTCACTATACATCAACTTCCCCGACAATAAGTAGGCGTTTGACATTGTTGATAGGAAAACCTTATGAAACATTCCCCGACATTGAGGAAATCGTAAACATCATACAGAATTCATACGACGAACTACAGTACAAAGTCGTGCATGGAGGACAGCTGACAGATGCATTCCAAGTAAGAATCGAAGACAAGCGAAGCTGTTTAGTTCCAATTTTCTTTCTTCTGATGGTGGACTGGACTACAAAAACCTCGACGTCTGAGGGGAAGCACGGAATACAATGAACAGATCGGAATCAATTAAAGATTTTGACTTCGCAGATTATCTGGCCCTTCTGTTCTATGCACCCAAACAAATGCATACAAAGACAAACATTTTTTATCAACCTCTGCGTCAGTAGGCCTCAACGTACGCAATGGAAAAACCAAGACTTTCAAATACAACACAAAAAAGAACAGCCCAATCTCAATTGATAGAGAAGCTCTGGAAGATGTAGAATATTTCGCACTCGTTCAATTTTCCAATATTCCGTGATCCACCGCACTACATACAATTAGTTCGTCTTGTTGAGCGACTTGTCTATCCTCAGTGACATTGCAATAGCTCCAAGTTGCTTTCTTGTTCATGACCATCCCTCAATAGCCTGAAACAACTCGTTCACGAATTGTCCTGTCCATATTTATTTACAGCAAATGCTTATAAATACCGCAATCAGACCATTCCACGTATGTAATGTTTTTTGTACGTTCCTCAATATCTCACTGTCAAATATGGTCAGTCGAAGACACCCGTGTTGCGAATCACAGAGGCATAATGGGTCCGATAGTTTCACCGAGAGGACCTAGTGATAGCGATCTTAGATGTCAGAGGAGTGAAGATACATTTTTTTCAAATACTCCTTCTACAATCCATTAATTAATAAATCGATTTTGTTAAGGATCGATAGTGTTATTTGCAATAAACTCAACACTAAAACCGTGAAACTAAGTAAAAACGAGTGGTCTGAAATATTACAACCAGATTTCACAAATCTAAATAGATCCATGAAGTTTGCCTAATAAAATTTGATTGATTTTCAAGTGGCAAATGTTCCATTACTCTATCGTACACCACCGAGCGTCATATATTTTCCCGAAACTAACAAAATGATCAACAAAATCACTGACGTCAGTGACACAGAAGTTTGGCGTCACAAAACACATATCTTTTTTAACTCTTGTGAAATACTATCTCACCTGGTCTATAGATCAGGAAGTATTATAGTTCAGTGTCAATGAAAATTGGGTCCTTTTTTGGAAGAAATGTGATCTAATATCGATCAACTTTTTGATGTTTTATGTTTTCAAACAACTTTATCGACTGTTTACCTTTAAGGTGCATTTGAATAAATACGCTTATGTTTATGCCTACCAGGATCTACGTGACTGCGGACTCCACATCATCTGCATTGTCTGTTTTCTCTGATCAGTTTACTGAATTTGTTATAACTGCCCTCACTGGTTCACTTTTAAGTGTTTGTGGCGATTCTAGTTCATGTGACTGTAGCTTTCTTTCATCACTAGGTCGCCATAATGAATTAAATTTTCTCATTCGTTTGAACGCCCACTAAGTCCTAGTTTCCATCAATCATGTGGGAACATGTCCTCCATTATCTAGTTCTGATCATCAAATTACTCTTGTTCTACGTAATGTATATGACAAGATGGGAGAAAGTGGACTGCAAAAGCAGACAAAGAAATTCGAATAAAGGAAGCAGTCTAAAGAACATATCCCAAACCTGAAAAACACATTTCATATAGCGAATTTGGGATTGTTTAAAGACGACTTATAGAAGTATGGTCGACCTCGCTATTAGTACTAGTATTATAATAGACCTAATCACAAAATTTTAGATCTGTCACGATGTGACTACCTGATCGGTAGGATCCTTCTTAGAAGTCACATCATCGTCTACACTGACTCGTCGCACGTAACAATTAATAATATGGTACTTACTACTTCTAAAGGACACATTTAGGCTGAAGATAGAATAACATATTTAATATGAATAAAAACAAGTTATACAGAATGACGACGACTGCGAGGCTGAGCCATGCCATCCGATCGAATGTATGAATATTCCCGCGTTCACCATTGTTGGCCATCTCTCCGTATTAAATGTTGAACATCTATTTTCCCTGTTATTTTATATTTAGCTTTGAGGATTGTATGGTTAGGACAAATATCACAACAGGCTCATTTGAAAATACCGTTAAGGTAATCTTGAATTCTGTTTTGACATTTATGGTCTCACTAAAACAATTTCTGTGAGCCACTTCTTTCCGAAGGTGTCCCTAGTCACTTACGTTGTCTCAATTTTCAGGACAGGATAAAACTTTGGACCTTTTTTATAAGAAGCTTGATGAAATTATGTGTTATCTATTAACAAGAATCTCCAACAAATACTTCCCAAGCAGTTTCTTACCGAAAATGGGGAGAGAGAAAGATAATCTTAATATCTAAGGACAAATTATTTTCTATCCCACTTCATCTTTCACTGTAAGTGCGCATTGATCCATGTCGGTTAGTTTACAGCTGCAAAAGAAGCAACTTAATTGCCGCTGTTGTTTTGTATCACAAAACAGTATTCAGCTTGGAAAATGGTAAGAAGTATATCCTACACGCCTTTCTAGAATGTTATAATAATAATAATCATAATTTATTCTCAAATAACAGTTTGTTACATGAGGAATGCTCTTACGTCTTTGACTCTATTCTAAGACAACCTTTACTGAACAGATTCAACAGCGTCAAAACTGACAGCTAGATAATCAACTAATGTGACACCATATTCTAGTTGCATATCCAGATGCTCTAACTAAATCACACAGTAAGCTGACATCGATGCAACCACATATATGCTCATACTGTGGTGTATGCTACTTCTGTTAACAGATATATATTCGGTCGGCCTAACTTGTGTTCTCGTTCACTACAATAAGTATACATATGTTTAGATACACCATGACTAATCATAAGGCAAGACTTCAAATATTTAAAGCCTTTAGTCTTCATCAATGTATCATCATTCATGCAATTATGAAGAATCCTGAATTTCTTAGCAAGTAATGTACAGTTGCCCCTGTCCTTATTCCAGAACATTACACGGTCGTATTCCTCTAGTCCTTTTGATAAAGGAGTAACAAATTATCTTGCCTTTTATTAATTCATAGACAAATGACCACTTGAATCACTACATTCAAAACATCGCTCTACAGTAACACCACATATACACACTATAAGTGTTGATTTCCTTGTCGTTGATACAAGTGACGTGCTAGCCAGTTTTCTATAGGACTCATGACACCACACGCTAACATCAAAATGACCTTATTGATTATCATTTGAAGCCTTAAACGTCTTTTTCGTCGTGTTCCAACGTAAAAACCTCTAAATGAGGTGAAATATCCTGTTAGGTTTCCTGCTCGACTACTCTGCAGCCTCGGATAATTTTTATTCTTTGAATACTTCTACAGTCCCAACCGTTGTTTGGTTAGTTCTTCACAATCAGTCGGTAATCTCCTGATCATATACGTTCTACTAATCTATGTAGGTCGTATGTCATCCAAAGAATATGGCTTTAAATTTGCTTCCTAACATCTGAAGGCAACAGTACTATTCACAGTAGTTATTTTTATCAACGCTTCTCCACCTTCGTAACGCCACTGAATAATTATTCGTTCGTTTTTGAGGGAAGTATCAGAACTGTTACCCAGAAAAGCGTAAGTTTCCAAACTTTCTTCGAAACCAAGCAGCTTGTCCAGAATAATGCACAAACATTCGATGAGTTCCTATTCCCAATTTTTATTACCACCATCAATATGTGGCACTGGATGATGCTGAGTCTCGTAGTTTTCGACATCACACTTTGAGCCCTAGTTACATGACCTAGCTATATGACTTTTTCTTAAACACAAATAATAGAGACCACAAATTCCTACTTCCCGTCTCATTTTCAAAAGTCATTTAAGGCTTGACGAAAACAACAATTCGTAAATTAAGGGAAAATGTCAACAATTCGCCTTAAACTCCAGGAGATTTTTGATCTCAGTTGGGGAAAATGACAATCTTCTCATTATTTTCTCATGGCAGGCAACGATTTTAGCTGTGAAATCACTAAAAGAGTTCGGAATGATATTTGAAATTGGAATTAATGGTACATTTAGCTACATTTCATACCTCAAGCATTGGAAAACGTTGGAGATCACTTACAGCATCACCTGGACGCAAAAGTAGGTCGGTATCTGTTCTATTTCAAATTTTACAGAACGTTGGTAGAAGGGAACCACTTCTTCTGAGACATTCTTTTTAAGTGTTTAATGGCACTTTCAACACGACGTTTTGTGTGATTACCTAGGCTAGGTACATGCCACCGGTAACAGCGAGCCCACATTGACTTTCGAGCAAATCCGAATATAATGCGTTATGAAAAGCAAAGCTCACATTTCAGAACTCCTGGTTTTTACGAGATGTTCCATCAAGATTTCTAGGCTGAAGCAAATAATTAGTACAGCCTACGTCTACCTTCCCGAAAAATACTCATAAATCAGGAACGAACACAGTATTAAGTTGTCATGACTGCGCGTAGATTATACTGCGGAAATTTCGTTCAACGCCGAACCCATAACGAAAGTACGGCTATCATAAATACCGCACATTATGTCTTTGAATCATAACAGTATTTCAGTGACATCTACGCGTCTTTCTTGCCTGCAAAGAGCATATATAACAGTGTGCTCTTGCTCAAGACTATCAGAAGCCACTAGTTGGGACAGTGGAAGACTAAGATAGATTTATTACTATTCATTACTTACCCAACTTTGTTGGTCTGATAAGTCGATTCAATATATACTACCTCTGACGCGATATCGTCCTTGGTAAGATGTTTATGGAACTTCCAAGAAACAAGATGCTGTAAGCTACGAGTTGGCGTATCACTCAATAGAAATGGTCTTAATTTTCATCGTTCAGTTAACATCATCTGTCGTCTCGATGGGTCGACAGAAATATATCCTTTTGTGCAAGGATGATTGTGCACTGTTTTAAATAGAGGTGAGTGTTAGCTCACCGTTTACAGCACGGACCCAAAATCCAGATTGACAAAGGCAATATTTCGACTTGAAGGATAAATTTATTCGAAATAAGGCGAACGTAGATGACTGATGTCGTTTTCTTTGCCTAGGTTGTGGTGATAAGTTAGAAGTTGTATGCTATTTGGCAGAATAATGATCACTATCATCATCTCCATCCTGAATACAAGCATCAGATTCTGATGAACTGCGTTTACGTCCATATGTACAGACATGTGTGACGAAAAAATACTTCAGAGTTGGATCATCATTGTTCTTTTTAAATGCTGACATAATGTATTTGGTATGGTTATACTGTAAAAATACCTATCAGCCACGGAAGTAATATTACCTTACATACTTCCAAGCAGGTCTCGAAATTGTCCCGACTTGTAACTCGTCATGATAACATAATATCATTGAAGATTCCTCCTATATCATGCATCATCACGATGTCATCGTCTTCGTCACTTGAAGGATGAACTTTATAAGACATAGTGTGGTTTAACTGAATCCAAATCTCAAACCGTCTTAATCTGAACGTATTTGCGAAACTTCGCGAATAGTCGAGGTGACGTGCCGATCATCTTACAGCAATTTGACAGACATGTGCTAAGCAACCTCCATCACTGTACGATACTCCTGAAGCGTTGCCCTTGAAGATTAGTGTCCACAATGTGATTCCATGAATAAGAAAAAATGCTGTCAAAAACCCACAAATAATTTTATATAACGAAAAACTGAATATGTCAATACCGGTCTCAGGAATGATTCCAGTGTAACTGATCTAAATAAAACATGGATCTGTAGCGGTAAATAAATACACAAAATCAACAGCTCTGTAAGTCTTCGATATTCGGTGCTTATCACATTAGCGTCAATGGACTCATCTAGCTGAAGGCGCTCGATCACGCATCCGCACCAGATCTCGAGTACCCTGTGCTTCACATCTCCTATTACCGCTAGTCACTTTTCGATATATCGATATTCTATCAAATATATCCTCGAACCTTTTAGCTTATAATCTCACTCGGTTGGCACGTTTCGACTATATGTGTTACTGGTTAATGTGTTGTTAAACTCCAAATAGTTGTGACATCTTTAGTGGTGAACCCGACATGATCTGGTACACCTATTCGCAAACTGTAAATCTCTTCCCCATGAGAACGTTATACATCATATTTTCACTTTAATATTTACACATTATGATATTTTTTCTCATATTTGTGGATGTTTTTTCTCGCTTTCATTCCTATACTTAATATTCGTCATCATTGAACAGACTCCTGTGTTAATTACGATCAAGACTCTAACACTACTCTCATTCCAGCTAATGCCATTCTGACCTGACGACATCGAAACCTGGTTCTGCTACGCAGAGGCTGACTTCAAAGAGGATGGCGTGGTAGCAACACGTGAACGGTTCTTCGCATTAGTGAAGGCACTACCGCGTAATTTCAACAGGTACGTCACACCCAGTATGTTCACTAGTGATGTCTCTGAAACATGCGAAACTCTGAATGAGAGACGTTATTGGTCAACGTACCTTTGACGAGAGCCTGTTTAGACAAATGTTCTTGCCTTAGCTCCCTCAGCAGGTTCAGACATCGCTTGTATCAATTAAAAACAACGCTCTAATCGAGCTGGCTGACCGATTTCTGGAGATCACTAGTACTTCCGACGCCTATATGTGTCTGAATAGGCGGCTTAATAAACCTATAGGTCTATTCAGCCAAAGAAAAAACTCAAACGACACGAGATGACGTTACGGATCTCTATCATACTCTGTAACGTTACCTTAGTATTCTCCGTGACTGTAGACGATCCTAAACTCCTTGAAAGAGTGCTTTATGAAAACGATTTCTCTCTAGATCACAAGAAACAGATCGTAGCGTAGGAGAACCAGGTTTCGATGTCGTCAGGTCAGAATGGCATTAGCTGGAATGAGAGTAGTGTTAGAGTCTTGATCGTAATTAACACAGGAGTCTGTTCAATGATGACGAATATTAAGTATAGGAATGAAAGCGAGAAAAAACATCCACAAATATGAGAAAAAATATCATAATGTGTAAATATTAAAGTGAAAATATGATGTATAACGTTCTCATGGGGAAGAGATTTACAGTTTGCGAATAGGTGTACCAGATCATGTCGGGTTCACCACTAAAGATGTCACAACTATTTGGAGTTTAACAACACATTAACCAGTAACACATATAGTCGAAACGTGCCAACCGAGTGAGATTATAAGCTAAAAGGTTCGAGGATATATTTGATAGAATATCGATATATCGAAAAGTGACTAGCGGTAATAGGAGATGTGAAGCACAGGGTACTCGAGATCTGGTGCGGATGCGTGACCGAGCGCCTTCAGCTAGATGAGTCCATTGACGCTAATGTGATAAGCACCGAATATCGAAGACTTACAGAGCTGTTGATTTCGTGTATTTATTTATCGCTATATCTCTGTTATTGCCAGATTTTCAAATGCTTGTTTTTCAAAAACACCAACACCAATATTTTAAGGAATAATTCACTGCTAAACTGAACATGAACTGATGATCTTCAGCCAACTTAAAATATTAGGTTCTGTGATTTTGGGAGTACAACTGTCTTTTTGGGTGTTATCTGTAGTCTGTAGTGGCGAAGCTGTGATTTCCTGAAGGCCTCTTCGACTTCCAATATTCTTTAGTATATTCTTTAGGATGCACCTCGCAAAATTCGTAATTTGTCAACTAAAATTCATATTCCAAAATAAATGGCCTTACGCATACGTTCTCTGTAAGTGACTTTTCTGAATAATTTATATATGCTTATATATTTACAAGTTACGGAGAGGATTTGAAATTATGGATATTTCGATTTGAATTCTTGTGAGCGGTACCAAGACAATGTTGCACCACGCCTATATAATGGCCGTCTTTCACTTTACAAAGATTGCCAGTCTTTTTTTGTAGGTTAGCAGCTGCTCGAATCTTGGGACTCGAGGTCTAAATTCGATATCATCATTAAATGATAATCTTAGTCTTTTTTTAATCGTTGATTATAGCTTTCGTCGTAATCCTGTTTTAAATTTTTTAGATATCTGATAGTGGATGGGCGTCCTGTTTATCTGATTGGGTCCAAGATACTCATCTGCTTTATGGTCTTTGATATTCTTCTCAACGCTTCAAGTTTTGCTTTCCCTAACTGATGGAGGATGACTTACAACGTAAAGTCATCAAACAGCGTTTAAAGCAGTTTTATGGAAGTAATACAAACAACTCACTGGTTGATCAGAATGATCCTTTAAATATTGACAGTCCATCCTTCGATCCACAGTTGTACTTGGATAAAAGTCTTAAGACGAAAGACCTTTCTGATCTAATATCAGAAGAAAAGACCCTAACCGATCAAATTCGCAGTCTGGATTCCGACATGCAAACACTAGTATATGACAACTACAGCAAATTCATTAGTGCAACCGACACCATTAGAATGGTATGTCTATTTTTTTCTTCTAGGAAACAACTAATTTTTAGATGAAATCTAATTTCAGTTACGTCCAGGCCGAAATGAATTCATTACTCCAAAATATTGCCTCCATTGTTTCAGTTTCTGGTACGATTAATGGAAATTTAGCTGACAAGAGAAAGAAACTGGGCACACTGACAACTACCCAGTTGACTCTAAACAAAGTAAAATCAAAATTTTGAGTAGAACTAACTAAAGTAATGTTTCTAGCTAAACTACTTAGTTGAACTCCCAGTCAGCTTAAGGAAATATATGAACAAGTGTGATTGGGATCAAATTGTACTTGACCTTAATAAAGCGAAATACATTTTAAAGAGTTATCACAATACTCCATCTTTTAAGAATATTCGAGAGGACTGCGCTGAGATAGTATTGGAAATTTGTTCGAAACTATGGCGTCAATTTGATGAGTCTGTAAGTCGTTGATTCTATAACTATTTTCCAGAACGATATAGCTGAGTGTTCTAATCGTCTAAAAATTCTGCAGCAGCTTGGTTTCTCGAGACGAAAATTGTCAAGAGCGATATTACGTTTGTGGGTAACATTTTAATTTTACTTGTTAGATTTTTGCCTATCATGCTATGTTATACAACTGAGTATTCACGCAAATTTTGGTTTGACGGGCTTTGTTAACATTTAGGGACTAAAGGTATCCATGGCTCTATAAAATAAAACTCTGAGCTAACAAACACTCATGTTCAAACTGATTACTAGCATTAAGATATCTTGTACAATAATTTCTTCCAGATGTGTGCCGTTGGGAGAAACGTTTAAGTAGATGCTATTCGCATTAATTCAGTGCGTTATAAGATGTAGCTAAGTTTATCCCACCGTCCTATGATGTAAGTTTGTTAAAATTATCGTACGACTTTCGGTTTTGTTTGACTAACTGGCCTTCAATTTTTTGAGGCTTGTTTTTCTAACGAAGGTTGTATTTACTATCGGTTTTACACTAATGGACAAGTTATTCTTTCTTTTCAGGGCTAAACGTCAAGTATCTCAACGTTTAGCTTATATTAAGACTTTGGTGTGTGAAGGAGACAAGCGAAGTGTTCAGAAAGAAGAAACTGTTGGTTCTACTGAAAACATTGCGAATCCATTTGTCCAAGAGTCTTCCTCTGAAGAAATGGTAGGGTATCATGTATTTATTAGCCAGTTATTTTTGATGAGCGTGAATTGCATTTTAGGGAATATGAAAAGATCGTTTATATGTCACTCCTGGGGTAATATATGTGAAGCAGTTGACAGAATTGGTCGAAACTATGTTGAGTGGTCACGTATTTGGTGATGCACTTGTTTTTGATAATTAGTATGAAAAGCTGACATGAGTATGGGTTGATTGTTGTATCTGCTCATAACTGAGATAGGGAATATTTCTAACATGAGCAATAGACGTTTAGAATGAAGTATCACTTTCATCTTCACTGCTTCAGTGTTGATTATACTTAAAAATTCCCGTCTAATTCAAAGAAATAGTCAAGTTTCATGATTTACATGCACCTTTAAATCATGAGCCCTTATGTGAACGCATGTATTAGGTTCCTTTCAACAACTTAAGTAAAGCGAAATATAACGAATTCATTTTATTTTACGGCTTTACTCATCTTTATACAAGCTGGTAATAGTTCATTCGGAATTTCAACAAAGATTAATATAATTGGAAAGTAGGAAGTGGATTGTCTATCAGTAGCTTGTAATAGCTTAAATCATAGTGGCTGACGATTGTTGATATCCTTTTAATGATTATGAAGAGTTCTTCAACGTTTCCCAGTATCCGTAATCTACCATATAAGCTTGATACTCGATTTCCTACCAACGGGCTGGAATCTTATCAAATTTATCATATATTCTACCTTTAGAAAAAAAGTGGCGTGAATAGGAACTGGTACGTTAGACCATCGTATTATGCGAGAAGTTAGCGAATGAGGTTATAGAAAACTTGACGTCGATTTTATTATTTATTTTTTATTTGAACACATATATATTGGTACAGGAGTGCGCCGAATATATATGCGCCACACAAAACAATGAGAATCTAAGAAACAAAAAGTGAGGAACGTAAAAAAGAAATGATAATAATAATTAAAAAAAAATAACGAAGAGATTGGTGTGAGGTAGTGTAATAATAATAATAGCAATAGTAGAGGAACAGAAGGGTACAATCAGAAGAAATCTTTCAGTTAAGGAAGATACAACCACTTTTTATAAAGAAAGTAAAAGAAGGTTACAGTAGGATCGCCACTGGCTTTTATTCTGAGCCATATCTGATAACGTTTCTAGCCACTGTGTAGAACCATCTCTCGGACCCCAACTAGGGAGTCGTGAATACCCGACACAAGCCGGTCCTTTGCAGCTTTCTTTCATACCATGACACCATTTCATACTGACCACCTCTCCGCTTTTTCCAACCCGTCCCAGAGTCGGCAAATAATGCACGACGTGGGATTCTCTGGAACGACATTCGTAGAACATGTCCAAGCCACCGAAGTCGGTGTTTCAAGACGGTGATACCAATTGAATTATTGTCTTTGTGCCCGAACACACGATGCCGAACCGCTGCATCACTAACATGGTGTTGCCACTGGATGTCATCAATCTTTCGGAGACAACGATGATCGAACACAGAAAGTCGTCTAACGTCCTCAACTCGGAGAGGCTAGGTTTCACAAGCATAGAGCAAAACTGCTCTCACCGACGCGTTGTAGATCCGACCTTTTACAGCCAGACTAACATCACGAAGGCGCCAAAGATTATCCAGATTGGCATAAGCCGCTCTGGTTTTCACTATACGTGCATTGATCTCATCACTCACGCCACCACCAGCACTTATGCAGCTACCCAGATACACGAACTTCCCGACTACTTCTATCTGCTCACCATCCAGAGTGAGTACAGGATTAGGATCCTGCCAGTCTTGTTGAAGTACTTTGCACTTCGAAGGTGCAAAGCACACACCATACCTACGGACCCTGATTGCCAACTGATTAAGTGCGGATTGCATGGCTTGGGCATTATCGCACAGTAAGACAATATCATCCGCATACTCAAGGTCGAGAAGTCTTTCTCCAGGCAACAGATCCACACCGCCATTACTTACATCCATCAGAGCTGTTTCCAGAATGTCGTCGATGGCAAAGTTGAAGAGGAATGGTGAGATTGGGCAACCCTGCCTAACCCCACTGCTCGAATAGAACAATGGAGAAAGGTGGTTGTATGCCCTCACTCTGCCTGAGGTGTTTGTATATAGGGCATTTAGGATGTTATTAAACTTCTCAGGCACACCCTTCTTCAATAGACAATCGCAGAGAACAGTCCTATCCAACGAATCGAAGGCAGCCCTGATGTCAAGAAACACTACGATTGTTGGCCTTTGATAATTATGACGGTGTTCTAACATTTGGTAGAGGGTGAAGATATGATCAATACATCCTCGACCAGAACGAAACCCAGCCTGCTCCTCGCGAGTCAATCTTTCTCGGGTTTTGAACAACCTACGAAGTATGATGGAAGCCAATAGCTTGGACGCAATCGGAAGTAGACTTATCCCCCGATAGTTGTTGCAGGAACGACATGAACCCTTTTTAAAGATAGGGACAACTATCGACTCATTCCATGACGTTGGTACACTCTCTAATTCCCAAACCTTTGTAAACAACGTCGTCAATTCCTTAGTCAAAAAGTCACCACCATCTTTAAAAAGAGCCGGAGGTAAGTCATCTGGGCCAGGTGATTTGTAACACTTCAAGAGTTGGAGTTCCTTGCGGACTTCCGCCTCATTTGGTGGATCAGTCGTCACCGATTATGGATGGCAGGACAGTCTGACCGATGCTGCCGGAGCAGCAGGCCAGTTGAACTGCCCTTCAAAAAAGTCTGCCCATCGTCCAAGACGTCGATGGATGTTAGTGATTGGCGTCCCGTCATCCTCACAGATTGTTTCGCTCACACCAGATTTCTTGCTGCCAGTGGCTTGGATGAGTTGAAAGAGCTTCCGGTAATTACCGGATGCAGCTGCTGCTTCCAGCTCATTAGCACGCTCCGACCACCAGGCTTCTCGGTCCTTACGTAAGCTTTGCCCAATTTCGCTACGTAACATCTTTCGTTTGTGGTCAAACTCACGGTCACCCGGAGTAGACCGATGGGCTTCAATGAGTTGTAAGGAGCCTGAAGAAACCCAGTGCTTATAAGCGAGACGTTTGGAAAACCCACAACTGACTGTATCCGCCATTTTCATGGCGTCATGCAATTGCAACCAATGCTCATCTATACTTTTCGGTGGAATGGTAGCTAGCCTAGAAGCTAGCTTGGTTTGATACTTACTTGCAACAGAAGTCGCAACCAACTTGCTAACATCAATCCGTTGGTGGCGGTCACTTCTTTGGTCACTGAAAAGTAAGGCAAGATTGGTGCAGACCAAGGCATTATCAGAGTCCAGATAGGTACTCCAAAAGGAGCGGCAGTCTTGTACACAACCACGCCAGCGGTAGCTGATCGCGATGTGATCAATCTGAGTCCAGGCTTGAGATGCAGTGGGAGGACGCCAGGTGGCACATCGGTGATGACTGTGCCGAAAGTTAGTGCTAGCCAGAAACAGATTGTGGTCTGTGCACAGTTGCAGTAGACGGTCCCCGTTATCTGTCCTGCGACCAACAAGTCCCCATCGGCCACCTAAACGACTCTCTTCTGTGCCTAGACGCCTGACCTGAGCATTCAAGTCTTTGGCTAGTACTACAATATCTGTCGAACACACTTTCTGGAGAAGAACAGAAAACTGGTGGTAAAACTCATCCTTGATTGCATCCGGGCTGCAATCTGTCGGGGCATAGGCGGAGATGACGAAAACATCGTTCCTCACACCGATTTCTTCTCACTTTGATGGAACTTTCTAATCTAGCAGCACATAACCGACTGTTAATGGGGATCCAATCGACTAGTGCTGCCTCAGCTCTAGCGCTTAGTGCGACACCAACGCCAGCAAGACCAGACGAAGATGCCACAGGGTCCACGGATAAGCGCACGTAAAACAAGCTTTTCGAAGAGACAGATGGAGAGCGAATTTGTAGTACTTCACCAGAGTCTTGAATACGGGTCTCGGATAGACAGCAGACATCAATATTAAGACTTTCCAAAGACATAGCCAGCCCTATCTGTTGTCCGACATGCATAAGTGTGCGAACGTTGAAGTCAGTCAGTTTGAATGGTGCACGTGGTTTCAGAAAAACTGCTTCAGTCCTCGTATTCGGTGGTAACTTACAGTTTACAACCGGACAGTGACTCGAGAACGTTTAGATACAGTCGAATTTCCACCATAGACGAGCTGTTTTATAAGTCGAAAAAATAAGTATAAACAGAGTGGGAATAAAGGGGGATGAATAATGGTGTAGTGAATAATAATAATAATAATAATAATAATAATAATAGCAATAATAATAATTGAATCATCTGAATGTTCGTCGAAGCAAGAGAATTAGTTTCCATGATCATAGACAGTTCAGTTCATTAATTGTGTGTGGGCTGCGATACTGCCCGGGTACCCAAACCGAAGCAGGTGGTTATCTTAGGGGGCCACACCTCGAGACTTTGACCTAATGGTCTAACCCACAAGGCAGTGAAGCATCGTGAGGAGATGCAGTCCCATGGTAGCCGGTGACCGAAAATTGGTTCATACGCCATTTGTTCCCGCAGGATACTGGAGCCCATGTGCACCATTGATTTGGAACCCGGTTAAAGCGCCGGACATTCGCTTTTCGTCCTCTCATTTTCGTAAACAACACCCCCGCCACGAGAAGACATTGAGTAGGACTTCCCTGGCAGAGGCTGTATACGCGTGACCGTGTGAGGGTATTTCGAGAGGGAGGGCGAACCCACCCCACTCTCGGCCATACCAGGGCATTTGGGGGCTGACGTCGATTGTGACTGATTGATTGACGTTCCGCATAGCTCTTTCAATTTCTCCCATTTTCGTTTCGCTAATAGACTAAATTGTTATAAGTTGAAGTATAAATTGTATTACATTATATAAAATAGCTTAACTACTTTATTTAAAGGAAGATTGGTTAATATTTGTTACCTCATTATCTTAACAGTTAACGTACTTTATGTAAGACTTTTTCTTTACCCAGGACGTGCTATACTTCGCCAATCTCATAACGGATTCTGTCCTCATTAAGCTTTCTGAATTTATTGGACTACTGGCCGATTTTTATTTCACAAAGTCAGATGAAAGTGAACCTATGGATACTATTTTGTAAGTATGGCTTTTCAATCATAGATGTGATAGTTTAATGACTTCAATTGTTAGTGTTATTAAGTTTATGAGCAACAAACAATGGATTAAATAATGATTGTTTTGCCCGTATTATACTTTCACTACATGCCGGAACCAATCGTATCTCTTGTTGGTCGCAAGATACTATCAGTTCGTGTTGAAATTTCTAGTTACTTGATTATATTTACACTAGATTAAGCGAAGAAACTGTCTTTTGTTCCTTCCATAGGGATGTTATTTCTGGCAAAACAGAAAATAGTGCCTCAGAAATCGATGATGGTTCTTTTGAGGAGAATTTGTCAAGTTTAATTGAAGAACTGATGCATGAATTTTTTATTTTGGTTCGAACTCGTTTTGAATCGGAGGTCAGTTTTTCAAGTATAAGTAATAAATGTTATTTTTCAGTATTCATACTCGAAACGTAAAGCCTTTCAGATATTTTATGAACTTTGATTTATGTACAATAGCTCTTAGCGTTCCATATTTCCAAGTATTTTATTTCTCAAACATGGGAGTATTTGATTAATTTATCTTGAACTATCCATGTAAACTTGTCAACACGCTCATTTGTTAAATGGTAACATTATTGCGACTGACTGAATGATGGTTGTGTTATGTTTAACCTTACTAAGCGAAAGTGACATACATAAGGTCCTATATACTTTGTACCTGGATTTCAGATATGTCGAGTGGATCAGTAAGGAGAATCTCCGTTGTTGTGAACAGATCTGTTTAATTTCCCAACTTTCCTCAAGATGTGGAAGCGAAGGTGGCAATTTCGAATACCATGATTTGTTTAAGAATAGCTACATCAGAAGACACATTTGGGAACAATCTTTCTGGTAACAAACACATTTAGGATTAGTTTAGCAGAATAAAATCCCTAATAAAGATGAGCTGCTGAGTAAAATAAAGATTAAAGTTAAATTGAGTACAAAGCTAATGGAAATAGAATGTTGCAAGTAAATAGGATGACATGTAATAGGTTTGCTTATGAGGAAATAATTATGGATTGTGAGGGTTTGTCTGTAATACTTGTAATTCACATTATTTGTAATTGTCATGGTTGGGCTTCAGGTTGCTATACTGCACAGTTACCCAGATAGGAGAAGTTGGTTTTCTGAAGTAACCACATAAGGGGTTAATTTATAGGACAATATAGCATATGAATCTCTAGTTTGGGGTCAGAACTCAAATTTTATTGGTGATCTACCTATCACTCAACTATATCATCCATATTCTCTCACATTTTAAGGAACACTGTTGCATTAGGGATCGAGTAGAACCTCCTTATAAGGGGCTGTGAATGTGCACTTTGGAGAAACGGTGGGATTTTTTTTATCAGAACATTTGAAGACCACATTTATTCCCATTCATCATCCAATATCATTTTCATCGAGTATCCTCAGTGTTTACAAATCGTCACATCTTATTGCTGTAATTATAAATTTACAATCGCCTTTTTAAGTTTCTGTTTATGCTTCAATTTCTAGAGCACAAGTAATGATGTCAGTTTATTGATAAGAGCTTTGGATCGTATCCACTGTCGAGTACAGACCTTTAATCGGTCACTGTTAACATCAGTTACTTCTGTAGATTTTGAAGGTGTGCTATTGGATGATTTAAGTCCTGAATCGCTGTCTATAATGAATCGATTCTCTTTACTTACTAATCAGTTTTCAAACTCGGCTCTGGAAATAATTAATCAAGTTGCTCGAATGCAAACTACTTATTACTTTGATATATTATGCCAAAATGCAGTTGAATCATTTACGGATCTCCGACATAAACTGGCTAGTCATGGACTACAAACATCCAATTCAGCTAATGAAGAAGTCAACAAAGTGTAAGCCAAGTTATTGATTTGTATTTAACGGGATTTTTTTTAAAAAGAATTGTTCCAACCTTATGATATGTTCAGAATGATTGTTTCGATAAATCCTATCGACAACGAATATCAATCTCACGATTTATTGTGCCTCAATCGTTAATCAAAGCTCAATCTGTTTCCGGAGTATTTTCATATGTCTACAGGAACTGGTTACAACCTTTTACCATAAAGTAGGTCATACATCCCAAGGTAACCAAGTAATCTTAAGCGTGCGGTAAGGAATACCAGCGTGATGTACTTTGATTGCAATCACTGGTTGGACGTCAACTGATATTTTCTACGGAGATACTTGCTATTTGAGATGCCTAAGGTTATTGGTTGTCCATGGAAGTTCTGCTGTCAGCTGGTTGGATTTCAATTCTAACCGTACACAAACTAATTTCAGAATAAGATCCCTCTTAAGCAGATAGATTAGTTTTAACCACTGCTTGGATTCATTGACCAGTAAGTGACGATGCCTTTAATATGACAATCGAATGAATAGATTTAAATGGTTTCACATCCAAGTAGTCATACGGTTAAATGTTTGAAGACTAAACACCGGCTCCTATTGACATTCTTTGTTGATCCTGTAAATAATACAAACGTTTCCTCAGATATCTAAGAGGTATCACACTCCCATCATCACTTCCGAAATACACAAAATAAATGCCTGTGCTCCGAACTGCAGTTATAGCGTAATGATAGCAATTTTCCAATCATTAGCCTTTGTTTTTAAAGTAAATGCAGAAGTTTATACAGTTCATTACAGTCTGTTTCTAAGTATTTTGGATTGTTGACCTGATATTTATGAACCACTTCTAAGTAAATTTATACCCTTAAAGTTCACAAGTTATGAGGGTGAATTCCAAAACTTCTCTTCACCAAAGCGTAACTGCTTTAGGTAGCTATCTGTATGAACGTCTTATATAGGCATTTTTAATCTCAAGAATCTGATCCTCCAAAGGTTTTAGTTCTTTAATTACTGGCACAGTTATTTTAGTAACTGACTGGGTTAGCTTTAAAAAGCATTGGCGGAAAACCTCCTCATATCAACCACTGATTTCTAGTTCGATATGTCACAGAAGAGTTTGTTTAGTTTTTGTGGTTCAGTAAAATTTAGGTCAATAATAGTGTTCTTAAGCAGTTCATAGGGGCCCTGGATGTCAGTGCTGTGTTATATCTGTTCTATTCATGAGTTTGGGTACATTGCCAACAGTTGTAAACAGACATATGTAAGAATATCATGAAAGTTTGCCTCTGAATAAGATAACTATTCCTTCGCTATAAGTTGCTGGAATAATATAATTTCAGTTACACAGCTTGATAGTGAGTTAACACGGATGAGTTTTCGGGGTAGTAAAGTATAAAAAAAATAGTACCACGACATACTAACATTTACCAAAGGAGTATGTAGTAGATCAAACTTAACGTTTCAAGTCACGTATATCTTTTATTTTGTAGGAACAAGATGGGAAATAACAATCATCAACTTTCATCACTTTTAGATGCTCTCAGTTCGTCACTTGTTTCACAGTTGCGCAATGTACTAAAAGCGGAGGAGGTAGACATCTTTTTGTGTTTCTTAATTTTATTTAGTAATAGTATTATTTTTCACTGAAATTGCAGCTACTTTCTGAACTTAGCAACGTCCATTCTTTGTTTCATCTAGTCACTCAGCATATCCTTTTTGCAGCCTTATTCGACTTTATTCCTGTTCTGACGATTGTTTTCGTTAAGGTACTCAGTCTTCAATCGTTAAGTTATTAGTACTCGTTTCTCTCTACCTGCTAAGATTTGGATATCCATAATGTATTGGTGATCGTTACACAGCAAATATAATTGTTTGCCTGATATTATTTTATTGCTAGCTTTTTAATTTTAACACAATGTAAAACTTTGTGTTATAAACTCCAAGCCACAAATGGTATGTAATATTAATTATCTGTTTAAAACTAAGATAAGGTTAAAATCAGTACCGCAATTGTTTATAGCCGAATATTTGAAAATCAGCTCAAAACCTGCCTAGGAAGCTTTAAAAGGTGCAAAATATTTAGTTTAAGAAATTCCGCTTAATGAGTAACAGTCAAATTTGATGTATTTGTGGTTGTGGTTTGGGATTCGGATTCCAACTAATCAGAAGTTTGGCTTTTTATTTATTCTCATCTATCTGTATGTTGTCAATTTGTCTACGTTGTTGTACTCTGCGATTCATGAAACTTCATATAATTACCAAGTTACTGAAATATCTGACTAAACTAGTGTCTTCCTTCCGTTGGTAATTGTTTATTACAGTTTATTTAAAGGCTCACTGGATTAATCACTAGAATACATTTTACTGGTTGTTTTTCAAGTTTCCTAAGTAACAACACTAATGCATCACCTTGTGCTAGAACCTTTCAGCGATCGGTATATGTTGTGTCTCAAGTTTCACTACTGTAGAAATGTATGCTAGAGCTTTTTTGTCTACCATATGAATAAAATGTTTATTAATTGTTAGAACAATCGTGAAGTATCGTTAAGTATAAGTTGTTAATTTTACATAGTTACTATCTGATAATCTGTTTTATTTCTTTTCAGGCTTTTCTTAGTACTAATAGTACATTTTCTAGTAGACCACAATTTCGTAATTCATTTTGCATTGATCAAATTAGGGAGGGACTTATCGTTGGTTACTTAAATTTTCTTGTTCAATTTCTTAGTGATCTAGCGAAGGTAAATTCACTTTTATCGCATGTTTTTCATGTTTTAATTTTTTATATTTATGAATATTACACAGATATGTTGTGTTTCAATTCTTATCTTTTTCCACTAATCCAGGAGGAAAGATACTGTGAAACTCGGTTAAGAAGTAACTGTTGCATATACTTTATCGATCACTTATTCATTAATTTGCTTTTTACACTATACTATTGTGTTTATTTCTGATAATATATTTTTAGTCGCTACTAGTCAAATCTTGACTTCTCGATTTTTTCTTACTCTTCAACAAAACATATACCGCCATGTGTTGATATTTACACTAAAATAATATCAACTTTTTTCGAAAGGATACTAAAATGCCTTAGCTTGATCGCATCAGTCAACTGTTACTATAATATTGTCAACTTGAGGTCAATTGTAATATTTTATCTTCAGTAATAGATTCACTTGCTCACAGAAACCATCTCATTATAACTAGCTAATTAATATCGAGAACAAAACACATCAGTTGGTTACGATGATCTCAAGTAGTGTTAGAGGTACATGAACCCCTATCTACTCCCTGTTCCCCTTACCATGAAAGGATGTGCTACATGTCCTTACCTTATGCTTTCTATATACGGTGAGGATTTTTATTTCTCGTTTCTTGTTTTGTTTTCTTATTTTTTTAGACAGCTGTATGCAAAATTCCGGGTCCTATTTTACTAACACTTGGAAAATTATGTTTAATGTGGGCTGATTCTGGTACAGTTGGACATCTGATTTCTCTGGCTGACGATTTTATGCTTTTCGGTAATGATTATGTAATTTTGGTAATGATGATAGCGATCTCTAAAATTAAACATTTTAAAGAAACTAAACTTCATTGGCCCCCATATGCCCTGGTACGGCCGAGAGTGCGGAGAGTCCGCTCTCCCTCTTGAAATGCTCTCACATGGTTACGCGTATATAGCCTCTGCCAGGGAAATCCTACTCACTGCCTTCTCGTAGCGGGGCTGTTGCTTACGAGATTGAGCGGACGAAAAGTGAATGTCCGGCGCTTTAACCGGTTTTGTGGACACGGGGGATCCACCTTGGGCAGTTGGAAAACCCTGATTCCAAACCACTGGTGCACATGGGCTCCAGGCTTCTGAGGTAACAAATCGCGTATGAACCAACTGTTGGCTACCATGGGACTGCATCTCATTGCGATGCTCCACTGCCTTGTGGGTCAGACTTTTAGCTCGAAGGTTCCTGGTGTGGCCCCCCAAGAAAACCACCTGCTTCAGTTTGGGCACCCGAGCAGTATAAGAGCCCTCACACAAATTAAATAAGATTTGTGTTTTGCATATGTATTTGGTGCCTCCTTGTACCAATATTTATGTGTTCAAATAATAATAATAAACTTCATTGGTAATGGTTATTTGGTGAAATAGTTCACTGAAGTAGTTTGTGACTTCTTGCGTAATGTGAAGACAATTTTTCATCATGAATTGACTTTAATTGGAAGCTGTAGAAGATTCCAGTGTACTGAGTAAGTGTTTCAGTTTACTCTCACAATTTTCTGTATTGTGCAGTCTCAATGTGTGGTGAAGAAGTTCCTTAAATTTGAAATAAATCGTTAGTTGTATTCATATGTAAAATAAGTAAATGCAACGGAATATCTACTTAAAGATTTTATATTCTATTTTATGATATGTTACTCATGAATTAAGGATAATATACGTTTGTGAAAACTAAGTTGATGCAATGCAACATAAATTTAGATTTGACTAAGAACTTGATTATCTGAATTGGCAAGTTATAACTCAATAGAAAGGTTAGTCTGTTCCGTTTCTATTTGACATATATGTCACCTTAATCAGTCTATTAACCTAATCCTGAATAACAGTGATTATTAATTTCATCTCGTATAGACATACTGTGTACGTAGATTCTAGTTATTTTTTAGTGTGATTAGTTAACTGGCTTCATTGGGTAATGGATATGTTACATCAAATAACAATCTCATTGATCTAGGATGTGTGAATCCTCCAGATTGTCGACCGAATTTCCCAATGTATGATCGATTTCTTATGATATGAATACGTTTCCATTACCAAATGCCATATGATTACGGTCAGTTTATTTGCTTGTTGGTTGTCACTTGTTTTTTTTTCAGGCTCACAAACAAAAGAATCAAAAAAGGAAGATTTTAATACAGAGAATGGTAATAGATCACTCACTACTCCAAAAGATGTATCAAATCGTTTCAGGTCTACTGGTAACGAGCTTCTAGTTGCTTTTGTTCGCTTAGAAGGTACAAATTTGGCACAACTGCTTCGAAAAAGTGTTGAAGCAAGAGATTGGCTGAAAAATTTGGAACCACGTACAGTTCGTTCTGCAGTTAAAAGAGTGATAGAAGATTTAGCATCACTAGATCAACAAGTACGTTAAATACTATTAACATTTAACACTAAATTTATTGTGATCATCCATTTTCATTTTACTCCACAACTTATTTATCGTTTATGCTTACAATATCTGCATTTTTTCTAACTGTTGACTTGGGTTTTATTTGTTCATCAGCGTTTTGGTGCCTATTTTCATCTCAATTCCAAAGCCAAGTTCATATACTAATTTTTATCTGTGTTCATGTTTAGGTCAGCCAGCTGTTTTCATCAAATACTCGTAATCGTGATCGTATTTCTGATTCACGTTCCAGTCGTAGTCTACGACCTAGCACTTCATCACATCTTATAGACGCTACACGAACTGGAAGTTCAAGTCAAGGATTTCATTCTCCTGACTTAGATCCAACTCTAGCTACTCATTTACGCCGTTTATTTACGCAAAGAGTTGATATTTTTACTGCAGTTGACGCGAATCGGGAATCACTACTTTTGGGTGTCATTAAAATAGGTTTAAAGGTTAGCCAAGTTTTCAGTTTCATTTGTTGCACTGCATATTTATTGTATGTTGTAACCAAGTATTATCACTTTGTAAGATTTGAAAAGTTGTCAATAAGGTGAGTAAGAAACAGTGAATTCCACTATCCGTTTTCTTTCGATAGGGCTTTACATCAAGTTTTATGGTGAAATCTAGAACAGTTTAATAGTTAAACTACATTCAGAGTCAATTCAACAAATACAATCCATTTTTCCTGGAAACATCGCTGTAATCTAGTCAACTTTTCACATCTCTGATTAGTAAATGTTTTGTATCAATTCACTCGATGGAAGGAAAGTTGGTAAATGCTTGTGTACTCATCAACTTAATACGGATTAACTCAATCGATAATCGGTATTTATTTTCATCTCTTTATAGGACAATCATTTTCTTGTCATAGCTTGTTTTGTTCAACTGTATGTTATGAAGTAAACCCTCCAAAAATTAGTAACTAAGTAGTAGTTGGTCTGTGAATATTAATTCGAAATTTGAATCGTATATAAGTTTGAATAGTTTTGTATTTCACCTTTAAGCACTGGGTTATGGTGTTTTACTACTACAAAGCTCATTTTGTTAATAGTTATTAACAAGTCATTACCTAAGTATTTCCAGAAACATTGTCAATTTCGTTGCTGTTTACTTCTTTAAACTCAATCACCAATATCTACATTTTGTGATAGTTATGTGCAAAATCAATCCATCAATTTATTGATTGTTTAACTGAGTTGTGTGAGCAGGTTCAGGTTATTAAGTTGGGGACGGATGATGTGGCCCAGGATCAAAATGGGGCAACCTATAACCGTGTTGTTGAAAGCAGATGATCTTACCAGTCTTTTCATTCTCGTTCCTTTCTCCCAGTCTATGTCTCCCCATGATGGGTTTATACCGGGTGTTCACATCCTCCATCAAAATAGATGAGTTTTTCTGATCATTTCTGTAAGTCTCATAAAGCTGATCTTTATCTTCGCCATGGGTTTCTCACTCCATAAGTGCTTCTCATGTTTCTTAGGACGGTATCAGTGGAATTCCTTGTGTGTGGAGCGTTTCATGACCACCATACCATAACAGCTCTTCTGAAGTTAGTCTTTTTTCATTCAGATTGTATTCATTGGTTTTCACTTACCTTAAGCATGAATAGTTTGGGAGGAAATTTGAATGACCCTCCCGGTTTCCCACATTGCGTGGGCATCCCATGTATTCATATTATTTGTTTCTCTTTGCTGTTTCAAACATAGATCATTGACAACTTTTCGAATGTTAGACCAAGTGATTGAAGGTTCGGATGTCAAAGTTTTCTATATATCTAACTTGTTAAATGGCAAAGTGTATGAATTGTTCATTCAGCTTCCACAACCACTAGCTCTTTGAAACCTTTTATATTGTTCCACTGAGCTATATTGTTTTATTGGATCATTGAAACTAACTAACGTTGGATTTACTTAAAATTCATTCGCTGAGATTTTACAAATATATTCTTTTTAATGTCTCAAATGAACTCGGCGCCCAAATATTGTGAAACTATTCGTTTAAATTTAGACGAAAGTTCTTATTTAACTCACTGCTTCTCAACAAATTTGCTCTTAAACGATGATACGTCAAAAATACTTCGCTTTATAATTCATTTACTTGTTTAATTTGGAATGATCTAGACTTTGATAGAGTGTGCACGTTTACAAACATTTGGTCGTTACGGTCTACAACAAATACAAGTTGATTGCCGATATTTACAAATTCATTTGTGGCATTTTGTAAATGATGAAAAGTAGGTCAATTTTTTTTGGACTGATTAATTAATAGAATTATTTTCTTCTCATATTAAGTCCAAGGTCCTTTGATATTTAAACGAACATCGATCATGTTTGTATAACGTTATCGACAAACAATTTTATAATTCATGAGGATTTCAAATAATTTGCATGTAAGTAACGCAGGCATCTCTAGATTAGCAGAACTGAATATATGTGTGATAACACTAAATATTACACTCCCCCTACGTGACCTGCGGAATTCTGATGTAATATAAACCATGAATGTTCTGGTTCTGACCAAGTTATTGATTTGACGTGTTCTGGAACTTTTTGATGCACACTGATACTATTCACACTTGTTTACTATGTCTTTGAACGTCCATTTCTGGCCATTATGCGTAATTGCGTGCAATTGATTTCATTCTGGCTATTCTTGGATGTTAAGTATGAAATTGTTTAATTACTCTCTTCTGTGATGCTTGTGGTATCACCACACATTTTCCAAACATAAGGCTGTTTCTAACTGTATATAGAGACTGCCGTTGTTGAAATAGGTGTTTTAGTTTTTCATCTAAAGACGATGGCCATTTATTTTGAAGGTAATAAATCGCTTATTGAAGGGTCGAGTCTTGTGACATCTGTTACATGGCAAGCTGCTATGGAGAGGGGCTATCACTGCATCCATGAAACGTTTGTGCAATCAGCGACACAATCGTCGTTAGTAATAGGGTAATTACTTATTAAGCGAGATATAGTGTCTGCCCGACAAAAATCTTCTGCCCTATAGTACTGAATATCAAAGTGATCTCGTAGCAACGTCATCTCGCACCTCTGCAGTTGGTTTACCGAATGCGCTGCTATTTCGAACCTCGAGCCAAAAACAGTTAGTAAGGGCTTGTGAGTCAGTCAACAATGGGAAGCATCTTCCATATAGCATTTTGTGAAAAACAACCGCTAATGCTTCTTTTTCAATCTGTTTGTAGCGTTTCTCTGCCAGTGTTAGTGATCTGGTTGCGTGCATTACTACTTTTTCCACTCCATTTGGAAATTTGTGTGCAATTACTGCCCCTCCCACACCATATGCAGACGCATCTGCTGTAACCATTAATGGCATTGTAGGATCGTAATGCGTTAGTAGACGGTGAAATCCAAATAGTGCTTTCAATTATTTGAAAGCTAGTTGACACTGCTTTGTCCATTCCCGCTTAGTATTCCTTTCAAGTGGATGATTAAGTGGTGTTCGCTTTCCATGCAGGGATGTAAATAATGCGGAGTAATAACTGACGAGTCCGAAGAACGAACATAGAGTCGGTAGATTGTGTGGGACAATTGAGTTCTTCATAACGAATATGGAAATAATAGGTCAGAGAGAAAGTCTTTTTTGAAGGGTTTGTAGAAGGAGAGAGATGGATACGCCACAAGAACCAGATACGTAGAAGACTCATCAGAAGGAACCAGAACAGCTTTAGAAACTATCATTGACATTTCTAAAGTTTCAAAAGAAATACCAAGAACGATACAAGGCAGAACAGAAGTACTATCACAAACGAAGACCGTCAAATTTACAAGCAGTGAAAGAATCCCCAAGACGGAGAGGTGCTAAGGACGTCATAAGAATAGTCAGATTTTATTAGAAACGCTAAAACGTCATCTGGAACGATAACCTCTCTCACATTTTTTGTCAATTCGATCCCGCATGACCTTTGCCCGCTGATTAATTACAGTCCTAAACATCAATAAGAAGATTCAAACAAACAATACTAAATGAAATCAAAATTTATTGTTCATTAGATCATTCTGTCTTTGTTATATTAACTGAGAACTACTGAAAAATGAACCGTCATTGCTCGTAATGGATCATATGAGTGTACATTTTTGGTTTTGATTCGTGTATATAATATCAGTTCTGTTTTGATGCTTGAACCCACACTGCATATTAAGAATAATGCATTTCTTTTCTCCAGGCTTATTTGTATGTTACTAGAAGATGTGATCTACAGTGTTGTTCAGCGTTGCGTTGATCCATGTTTCATGGAAGAGAGTGTAAGTTTTTAAAAGTGATTGTTAAAATATTATATTACTCTAAAGAAGGTATTCAGTAATTATATATGCTACAAATGTTCTGTAAAGCTATCCACTTTCTCTGTCTAACTTCGCTAACAAAACTCCATGCATTTCTCAAAACCAATATCACTGCAAACATATTTTAACTACCTGTTCTGATTGGTGCTCGAATGATTGACTCCAAATGGTAGAACGTTGTTTGTCTAGTTGGTAGAAGAGTGGGTGCAGTTGGATGAATATTGTTGGCTTTGAGTAAAACCGAACGTTTTTCACTTTGTACGATTTTATTATTTTACATTATTGGAATGCGTTTGCAAAGTGGTATGCATTCACTCTCCGATATAATTGAGGTTGTCGATTTATGTTTAATACATTTAACCGTCTATATTCGTTTTAGTATAGATCCTAGTTTACTCTTTAGTTTTTGATGTACGAGATACAGTATCAAACCATTCTAATTTATTTGAACTAGAGGGAGCAGTGACGTGGTGGTCGAAATATTTGGCTTATAAACACTAGGTCGTAGCTTTAGACCCACTTTATCGACTTCGGTTTAAGCAGTGTGGTAATAGGTTACTAATCCTCATACCTAAAGTTTGGTTCAAGGCTCTGTACATCAATTTGTAATTGTTATGTGTACTAATAATTTTTACAAATATGAACTATTTTCATCATATGGAGTATAGATAGTGGTTATTATTTTAATCGTTCGACAAAGTTAATCATCTTATTCAGTGCGGTCTGTATCATCAATGTAGGATGTTGAGGATAATGTCCTGAATTAAAAAGATACTATTGTGGTTGTTAAATTTACTGGCCTTCTCAGAATATTTATATTTGGTTAATATATAAATAGTAAGTGGTCATAAAGTGTATATTAATTAGCTGAGGTTAAAAAATCAGATACAAAGTGCTAAGCTTAGTAACAATAATCAACTTCCAGCACAGACAAGCTGAAAATGACCAGGTCAATTTGACTGAGTGCTGTTTGGGATTAACGGATGAAATCCAATAAGCGAATTCTAGGATCAGAATTTAGTTACTCATGAGTAATACATTTACAATAAAAGAATTTCACGACGATGCTTTGCCTGATTGTATTGAGTATGCAATCAATAACACTTAATCGTTCAACGTCCACCACATGTTACTCCTCGTGGAGCAGCATCAGCCGACCACCAGCATACTCCACTCAACCCTGTCCTGGGCAATCCTTTCCAGCTCTGTCCAGTTGCTATTCACTCTTTTTATATCTGCTATTTCAGGACGTAATGTGTTCTTTGGTCTTCCACTTCTCCTTTTCACTTCAGGATTCCAAGTTAGTGCTTGCCTCGTGATGTAGTTTGATGATTTCCGTAATGTATATCCTATCCACTCCCATCATCTTCCCGTGATTTTCTCTTTAGCTGGAAGCTTGTTTGTTCTCTCGCACAGTAGGCTGTTGCTGATGGTATCCGGCCAATGGATGTTGAGTATCTTGCGTAGAAAATTGTTTATAAATACTTGTATATTTTTGATGATGGTTTTAGTAGTTCTCCACATTTCAGTTCTGTACAGTAGAACTACCTTTACGTTCGTTTTGAAGATTCTGATTTTGATGTTACTTGACACCTGTTTCGAATTCCATATGTTGTAGTAATGAGGTCCTTGATTTGCCAATCCTCACCTTTACGTCTGCACCTGATCCTCCTTGTTCATCGATGATGCTTCTTGGCACGTGAAGGATTCCACCTCTTCCAGAGTTTCGCCACCAAGTGTGATTGGGTTGGTGTTCTCTGCGTTGTATTTGAGGATTTTGCTTTTTCTTTTGTATATGTAGAGGCCTACTGATGTAGAAGATGCTGCTACACTAGTTATCTTCATCTTCATTTGTTCGTGTGTACGGGATAGGATGGATAGGTGATCTCTGAAGTCCAAATCTTCTAAGTGGTTCTGAGCTGTCGATTGTATTCCGTGCTTTTCGTTTCTTTAGCTTCAGTTTCATCTTGGCCACCCTGAGGTGGTAACGTGAAGCTATATCAGCTCCTCTCTTGGTTCTCACATCTTCCATTGTCCTTCGGAATTTTTTATTGACACAAATATGATCTGTCTGGCACTCTGTGGTGTGGTCCGGTGAAATCCATGTAACTTTGTGTATGCGTTTAAGTGGGAATATTGTGCCACCTATGACAAATTTTTTGAATGCACGTAGGTTTGCAAATCTCTCCCCAATCTCGTTTCTCTTTCCTAGTCGATATCATCCCATGATATCTTCATATCCTGTGTTGTTTATTCCGACTTTGGCATTTAGATCTCCCATCAGAATGGTGAGACCCTTTCTTGGACACTTCTCTATGATTGACTGCAGCCTGTCATAGAACTGATCTTTATCGTTTTTGTTGCTATCGTTGGTTGGTGCATAACATTGGACAACATTCATTGTAATTCCCTCCTTTCTTTTGAATGATGCTTTGATGATTCTGGATCCGTGAGATTCCAATCCTACAAGTGCATTTCGTGCTACTTTGTACAGTATTAGAGCAACTCCCTGAGTGTGTGGAGCGTTTTCCTCTTCGTGATCGGACGGAGTACAGCAGCATCTCTTTCGTACATAGCCTTTGTTGTGCAGCTTAGGTCTAGTTGGTTTCACTGATTCCCAGTACTGTAAAGTTGTATATTTGATTTGTCTTCCCGGTCTCCCACTTTGTTCGGACGTTTCATGTACCTATAAAGGGGGGGGGCATTGATCTCGGCTTTCATCCTGAGGCGTCATGATTCTTCCTTCAACTCCCAGGGCAGAGTTTAAACGGTTTAATTTGTTGAATCTGGTTGACATTTTTTAGCAAGATTTTTTCTACGGATTGGAGTTGCCGACCTCATGCCCAACCCTCCTCATTTTCCCGGGATTGGCATCGGCAGAATGACACTTAGTAGCTTAGTAGTTATCTTCCATTATTTATTAATTTACTCTTAATATCAGATTTTCAATGTATTTATAATGAAACAATCTATTGTTAATGAAAATTGTTAAAATTTCTATCAGGGCAAGTCACGTTTTTTTCATGTACTTAATTTTAATCTCTCCTGTGCTTTTGCTCTTGTTTTAGGTTGTCGAAGCGATTTGTGATCGAGCATAAAGTTACTTAATTATTGCTTAATTCTTGATAATAACCGTTTTTTTTCTCTCGACTTGAAGAAAATAATCAGTGTGTAGCTCCTCTTTTTTGGTGATATTCTTTCATTAATGATTGTGGGATATTTTCATCCGTTTATTATTATTATTATTCTCATCATTATTGAATAATGATCCGTTCTCCCTTGGTGTAGGGAAAGTTAAATTTTAAAATTCTAATTGTAAATTATTTGTCATATCGAAATGTTACAAATTCCTGTCTTTTTTATTTATCACTTTTGTACTGAGAATTGTTTAGCTGTGTTTTCCGATACTTCAATGTGATGCTTTTTGTTTTATAAATGTTCACTATCTAACTTATTGTTTGATGTTAGTTTTAATTTTCGTACATATTTACTAATTTTTGTTGTTGTCGATACAATAAACCTTTATGGTCTCACTTTTTTAGTCACTTTTGTTTGAGATTTTATTTGAACGGCGATTTCTTCGCGAAATTGCTTAAGTATGGTAAGACTATTTGAGTAATTGACATTCAGGTTTCAACATATAGATAGTAAATCTGTACCAACTTATACTAAAAACACCATTCTCTCAGGAGTTGGACGGGACAGTGATTAAGTCAGTTTGTAATACCTACCACCAATGAAATTCATGAGAGTCTAATTGCAGTAGATTAGCCTGAGGTTCATTGGCAAACGTCCTTCTAGACTGAAATAAACTAGTCTCAGTAAAGAATATAAAGTTGTTACAGATCATTATATTCTCAGAATATTTTATCAAGATGACACGAAGGTAACAGTTAAATTATTATATGTCTATTATTAATCTTTTTTAATTTAAAAATACTTCAACCACGAAACAACAAAACTGAAATGCGTTGCCAAAAAATGAACACTCATTCCAATTATTAAGTCAAAAAATCATGACTTACAAGTATCTCACTTTTCATATTACTATCATGACAATAAGGTTCACATCTGTAAACATTTATGTAATATAAAATAATACAGATACAACAGAGCAGTAGTAGTTATATTTTCAATTTTGTTAAAGTATTTATGGAGATAAATATCCGATCGCTCGGTTAGAGTCTGGTTTATTCTTGCCAATTTTCGTAAAGAAATGCGCTGAATTCGGAGAAGTCAATCATTCGATCACAATTCTTATCAACACTTTGCATCCAACGATTTAAAGCGTCCTCAGATACACGACGATATCCTAAATCCCGTAAAACGTTTCTGATTTCATCTAGTGATAATTGTCCTGATCTATCTTGGTCAACTTCATTAAAGGTTCTCCTCCATTGTTCAACACTAAATATCCATAATGTTAAGAATTAGTTTTAAACATTACATAATTGGAATAAATCACTCAGATTTTTTTGAATGTCAATTTGTTGTACATTTATGAAAGTAATAGATATCCTTGTAGTATTGATCGAAATAACCAAAACCAATTGTTATTATTTAAATCCTTTGAAGGATTATACGATAACAATATTCAGGTCTGCCCGTTGATTAAATCACAACTTGCAGCAGTCAATAAACACTGGTGTTAAACTGACTGCTTCATGTTATTCTACAGCACTGATTTTTCAAAACTAAGGATTACTTATATACGGTTCTGTTACTTTTGCGTCTTACATCTGTTAATGCATGCAATTTGGTAACCATTCATTGGTTCACCTACCAATGTTAATTATTCTACTTAATCATTGGAGTAGTTAAAATAATGAGTTTACTTTAAATTTGTGGTCTCTAGAACTGGAGTGGCCTGCTTAAAAGTACGAATCTATTTCGATCATCCAAGAAGTGAATTAATTTTAATCTATCGCTATTCAATTAGGAGTAATCCTACAAATATTGTGATTACATGTAATAAAACTACGTATAATGTTTTAAGTGGAATGCTTGCGAGTTCACTCAAATATTTTTCAATTTTTGATCAACTAATCAGTAAGCAATTAAGCAAGGTGTCAAAAATTATTTATGTGCTAAATGTTTCTTGTTCTTCTCTCGAGGTAACTACAGCGAAGAAAATTATAGGAAATGTCTCCGAAAATTATCAGAATGAAATGTTACTAAGTGTGACATTTAATGTCAAAAATTGGTATTATTTAAATTAGAATAATCAATAGATTTTCTAATCTATCGTGATTTAATTTGTTCTTGTTTTAATGTAACATTCCAGTAAACTAAATCAATGTAGACTATGAATTTGTGATATCTATTACTTACTCTCTGGTAATGAATAAACTGCAGTGACAAATGTTCTCATGTAAATCATCTGATGAGATCAATATTAAAACATTAAAAACCTGCAAACCATGGACAGCGGTTTCGTTCTAATATAACACTTTTCAGCGGCGCACGCCGTTTTTAAATCAGTACCTCCAATCTCAGGTGAACGCTCAACTTCTACACTAATGATTTTACACCTAACGGTGTTAATGTCTGACTTCAACTAATCCACGATGTTTCGCGACCATCTATTGTCTTCAGCGGGTAACTGCTTCACACCCGACACAGTTGAACTCCACTGGCTTTGGCTTCTCACTGGGACTTCGAGAATCTACTCTCAAAACGGCCGTCCAGTGCTTCATAATTTTCATGATCTCAATAAAACTCAACAATCACCACAACCCTATACTGGTAAGATTATAGGTTAGAAGAAAATGAACATCATGTTCTGTACAAAAATGTGACATGATTTGTGAAAACATCTAGACTCTGTTTCAAACCATATTATGTATAAATACTAGTAAATATTAGCTCTACAACAATATTTTGAAATGTTTCATCAATGTGTAAATATCTTTTTTAGTCTCAATATTCCCTGAAACAACTTCAACGAAATACCGATATTGCAAGGAAACATAATGTTTAAAATTGGTCTAATGATTCAACTAGGATTGTTATTAATATGTCATTAATTCAACAACATAATTAATAACATTTGTTATATCATCACTTACGAGCTAACAAAAAAAAACTTGTCTTTAATAGATATTGTTACTCAAAATTGTCTCTTACTACGGATCATAGTTACTATCACGGTAAGGAGTTGACTGACGCATGATGTTATCAATATTTCTTTATTCTTTACATAATTATGATCATATGAATAGCCAAATCATGTTATTTATTGAGTGACTAGTGACTGAGTACTTGCATCCATTATGATTAGCTACCCGAATGATTGCCCGTTAAAAAAAACGCTATTTATGTAGTAATCTTAAGGATTAAAAAAGAACTCTAAAAGTTTGTGTCAGTCAGTCAGTAACAACGTAGTACTTCGTACGTATGTACATCAGTTCGAGTTGCTACACCACATTAGCACAGAGATGCAGTGGTCGACCCAAATCCCGTAGTGCTAGATGTAGTAAAATTATAAGCTGTAATCAGAAAAGTTAGGGTTTAAAGATATTATTCAAGGAGTATAATCCAGTGAAATAAATTTGGAAAGAGAAAAAAGCAAGGGACATGAAGAAGTCAGAAGATTAGAATTCGGGAGAACACAAAGAGTGGATGTACCTGCTCACACCATTGCAAACAATTTTGAGCCATGTCATTCAGGGTCTCTAACCATAGGTTGCTATCATCTAGCGGTCCCCAACCAGGTAGTCTACACCTACCAACATGACCCAATCCACTTGTCAGTGACTTCATGGACTTGTGCCATGTTTTGGTCTGGCCGCCCCTAGCTTTCTTCCAACCTACTCCTATACCACTGAACATCGCACGTCGAGGCAGTCGGTCGTTGGGCATACGTAACACGTGTCCCAGCCATCTCAACTGATGAAGTTTCACCACTTCATCAATTGATTTGCCATCCTTACATAGTACCTGTTTCCTAACAACTGCATTACTTACTCGATGGTCCCAGGATATATGAGCAGTATTTCGAAGACACCTATGATCAAATACTAGTAGTCTACGAATATCCTCTACTCTTACCGGCCATGTTTCACTTCCATAAAGCAGGACGGAACGAACTGCTGCGCAGTAAACACGTCCTTTGGTTTTTATTATTACAAAAATAATAAAATAATGCAATAAAAATTTACTTTCAGAATTTGAGAGGTTGGATATATGGATTTGTTTTTATGGCGATAACAATTAGATGGTAATAAAGTATTAAATTAATTCCTGTCTGGATTTTAAATTCTTACACATAGATGGATATTTCATTTATATAAAATTATAATTTTTTCTTTGTGTAAATGTCATAAAATGTCAGTAATTCAGTAGTTTGAAACTTTAATATGAATTAAAATGTCTCTACAATGTGACTATGATTAGGAGTATTTCTTAAGAAAATTAGCTTGACTAATTCAATAGAAACAATGGGTTAAAGTTTAATAAATAGGAATTTATTAGAAATAGATTTTATCAAAATAATTTTAGTTAGCGGAAGTTAGACATTGACACCGTTGGATGCCGGCTCAATGATTTAGTGTTTAGGCGTTTGCGCGCGAAACTGATAAGTCGCGGGTTCGAATCCTACGAGTCGGGGGCGTGGATGCGCACTGCTGAAGAGTCCCACAATAGGACGAAACGGCCATTCAGTGCTTCCAGGTTTTCCATGCTGGTCTAGCTTCAATTGACTCATGATCTCAACTACTGAAATCTTAATATATACTGCAAATATTACCCGTCATATCAAAACGTTTGTGATCGCAGTATCTTATATGTCGTGTAAGAGCGTGGAAGTCCTAATAATCAAACGATATATCACATGTAATAGGTCGTTAGGTGGACTGGAGTCGCTTGTCAATAAGGAATAAGGTACTTATTTTTAATAAACATTCACAGAAAATATCTAACCTTTGGTAATGTAAGAAATTTGCAAATACAGCTATTAATGTTTATGTATTTGACACTGGAAATCAAAGCGATCAACTGTAACAGAAACTATTTAGTTCAAAACGACTTCGAGCATATATTAAATAACGGGTGAAAGAATAAACAGGGTTAATCATTTTGGGTAGTAACACATATTGAGGAATACAATTGAACTTTGTTGCTGACACTTAAAATCACGAATTAACGCTATTCAGTTATTGTCAATTTTTCGTGACAATTGTAGAATGCATGTTAACTATACTTTCAAAAATTAATTAACTATAAATGAATCTGGGTTATGGGATTTATTTATATTTATTATTGAAAACTGAATTTTGTAACATCTACTACTAATAATTATTCCATGGTTATTTATTTTATTTTTTTTTTGTTTTAGTTAAAGAACATAACTGTAGTTTATGTTTTTTCTCTTAGTTAAACTGTTTTTAATCTTTACATACTATTCATGAACTTTCGATAATATATTTTAAAATATGGACTGTTAGTTACTCTTGAATTTACCAAGTTTACATTTGTGTAAATAGCGTTACATTAAAAAGAGTAGTAATATTTGAGTGAATAATCTTCAACAGGTACACCGGTATATATATATATATATATATATATATATATATATATGTGTGAGCTGGATGGTAGAAGTTTGTGCTGATGACGTCATTCAGAAGAACGACCTAAGCTCCACGACAAAACCATCTACCTCAGAGAACAAAATTCCATTAAAATCATCTACCTGAGCTACAAATCTCCACCATATATATATTTAATGAAATTACTTGATTTTCGAATAGTTGATTTTTATTTAATTTAGCTTTGCAAATTTTTTGCTTTGATAAACTCTACTACTGGATAAACATTATTATCTAATGTTTATATAAATAAATACATTTTTAAGAAATAAATTTATTCAATAAGAAGATATTTTGCAAAGATTTGTGAACTTGCAAGCCTACAGATTGCAAAATTGTTTTGCTTAAGAAAATTCCATTGTCAAACAAAAAATCTTTCTTTTTCACTAAAAGGCTTTTATTTTGTTGAACGATGTATTTAAATGTCTAATAATTTACTGAAGCGAGCAGTTAATTATGATTTTTCTGAGCACAATAAAATGTTCGGTTTCTTGAATTTTTTTCGCTCGTTTGTTTCATAGGTAAACACTGAATAGAAGAGCGTGATTTTCACTGTGAATTTCATTTTAATCATCTAAAGTTATTCATGTTTTACATGAACACGATATTACAGTGCATGTCAACTTTGAGTATGAACAAACAAACAAATTGGGTTAAAACGTTTAAAATGAAATCCTTATTGAAAATTATGCTCCTATATGGAATACATTCCAGTAAAGTAAATCAAAAAATGGTCAAAAAGATTCAACCCCAACATATATTGTTTACTGAAATATAGATAAGTTAGAATAAGTTCAAGGGCACATATCTTCTACACCGTAA